TTGGAAAGTTGGTGTCTCATCTAATCCAAACATTTCAAAATGTTTGACATGCAGGTACTCATTCTTCATAAGTAAGTATGTAAAAAGACATAATACTGATGTATTATGTATTCATTTTTCTGTTTCAGCAAAGCACATATAAATGTTTCTGATACTTCTTTGATTTTCATAAATCATCTTACTCATGAAATTATTTCATGAGGCATAGTATAAAAAACTTCTGCCCTCTTTTCTCCTTTTTTTTTTACACGAAGAAGCTGATTTTTAAATGGAAGAAGCAGCATTTTATGTTTTAAATTTTATTTGGTTATTTCAATTTTTTTAATAACTTGTGACTTCAACATTTCCTTTTTTAATTTATTTAAATGTTTAAAATACAATATTAATAATAAAATATGCCTCCGTAAAGGTTTATAAATTGAACAATGCTTTTCTGTTATTTTTTCAGTGTAGTCAAATTGACGTAGAGTGTTGCCACCACCTAGATTCTTAGATTCTAATCTACAGATGTGTATTTCTAAATGCCAAATGTGCAATAGATAGAGGAAGAAAAAGTGATAAAGCTATCAGAAATATGACAAAAATATTATATATAAATTATGTCTTGGATTGTATATTTTGTAACAGATACTCTTATATTCTGGTTATATTATAATTTGTAATTAATATATTGCTATGTATAATACAATATAATGTTTTTTTAATTACATATTTTTCAGCTTTATTTAAAGACCAAGAATCTTTTCTTACAGACATTATTTTGGCCATTACATATTTGTCTTTCCTTTCCTCTTCTTGACATCCTTTGAAAATTCTGCTGTCACTTTCCCAAGTCTTTATTTTGAGCAGCCAAGTTAATTACTGATGAAAGTGGTAGCTGGAGAAATTGTTTGCCTTTGCTGTTTAGAACATCTGTAAACTTGTTCACTTTTCTGGGTTCTGTGCAGGCCAAGTTGAGAGTCAGAATAGGCTCTTAACAGCAAAGTACTAGAGGTAATGTCAAAATTTACTTGGAGTGAATAGCAAAAGGTACTTCCTGAGTGGATTAATACCAACTGTGTTACTTGCACAAGGCAGAAGCTGTTTTCTTTTGTGTTCCACACACCCTGGTTTAAAGATTCGTATTGTCTGAAGTAAAAGTGGTTTTTGAATAGCTACGGAAAGATAGACAAATATTTCTGTGGGTCTGTCAGCAGTACTGGAGAAAGAAGAAAGACCAGCTTCATTAAAGGATACACACTGTGTCTTACATAGCCTTGACTCTTAAAAAGCAAACAAACAAAAAGATGTTTTAGAAAATAAAAACAACCTTCTGAATACAGAAGCTGGATTTTGACATTTCCTGGGTGCTCCAATGAGATTGTACAATATTAGCAACAGTAGAAGCAGCATTTGATAAAGCAAATGCTTTAAACTTTTAACATCATCAACTAAGTGGTGCAGCTGCATTTGCAAAATCTCGCAAATCATGTGTAGGGGAAAAAAAAAGCATTTACAAAATCTTCATGCATGAATAACCTGAATTGTGATAGTTTTACCCATTCTCTAATCTTTATGTAACCATGACAACACAGCTCACACAGTGAAATGTTCACATTTCACAAACAAAGCAGTTAAAAAGTGAAGGTTTTAATAATATAATATAAGCAGATCTACAAGTATTTTTTAAGATACTGTACCAAAGCTATGACCATGAAAACATATACATGTAAAGGATTAATAGGGAATGACAACTGCTTCTCATGAAACTACAGATAGAATTATAAAAATTGTCGTGTTGTAGAGGTTATTGTACCATTTAAAATCCAGAGTAACCTCTTCACCACAGAATAAGCCCTTTTGATTTTAAGTGACGTTTTGATTATTTAAACAAATACTTGTGTTACTTTAGGTCTTCATTCTAAATAGGCACAATGTGAAGCACTGAATCTACAGCAGTATTTCAGGAATTTGTCTGAATGTGAGCTTGTAAGGAACGGAGATATAGCAGGACATAGTAAGGAAATTTGGTTTTAAAATTAATAACCTACTAGTATCATCAGCTTAATAGTAAATAATGCAGAAAGAGCTAATATGCCATTGAGCAGGTAGCTGATGAAGTGAGCCTTTTGGAGCTCTAAACTGCAGTAGTATCAGAGAATGCTGATTGACAAGAAACAAAGCGAAGAATAGGAAAAACTAGTCAAGCCTGTTACTTTATGCTTTTGCAGTGGATGGAAGGTGTAGTGTGTGTTTTGAGTTGACACAGATGTCTGTATGGAATCCTAAAACACAGCATTCAGTAAAACTGTTATGTGGAGGTGTATGTGGAGTTGTGTGGAGTTGTACCCTATTATCTGTGCTGTTTGCAGTAAACTGTTTGCTATTAAGTGGGGAGAAACTGATTAGAGGCAATCCAGAAGCAGAGGGCAGTCAAGACGTGCTTACATATACCACTGTCCTCTCCAATGTATGGGAAGATGTGTGGGGAAAAGATGGGAGGCACTCCAACCTGATAACTCTCCCTTTTCACCCCATCTAACTTCAGTTTATTGTTAACTGATGATCAGAAATTGGATTTCCGTGTTACTTGTGAGAAATTTGGCAATCTTATTCCTGTTCCTTGTCTGGTCGTGCTACTGGAAGCAGCACAATTCCTTAGATTTCTTCTTTAGCATCCCCACGGTGTCACAGGCCTTAAGATTGAAATCGCTTCTTGTTGCATTGAGTCAGTCACCTGCACATAGGTCTGTGGCTTTTGCACTCGGTGCCTCATGCACATTTCCTATGACATTCCCAATGCACCCTGTGAAATTAAATTCACAAATTCTGTGTAACAGTCAGGCTACACCCACACCATGTATCTCCACTGCCTAATCATTCTCCAGTTAGTGTCTTCTTTTGTGGACATTTCTGCTAAGGGTTCTCAAGGCTAGGAAGCTTTAGAAGAGATTGCAAAACCTGTTGAAGGATAAAGGAATTATATTGTTGGCCTCAGCCTGTGTGCTTTATGGTAATCCCCATAAAGCAGCAACACCACAGTGGCCTCTAGTGGGTTGTGCAGCCTCTTGTATTCCTCCTACAAGTAAGTCTTGGGCTAGGCCTATTATACTAGGTTTAAGAAGAGGAGGTTGTGCTAGGGAGAGAAAGAGGTGGTGGCTGTCAGGGACATACTGTTGTACACCCTTGCAGACTTCATGCAGTCTGAGACCTGGCAGCTGGAAAGTACTGGCTTAACAGGTGGAACTTTGTGGCTGAAGTTTGTGAACGGTGTTGTGGAATATATAATAGGCAGACTACTTCAGTAATTGTTTAATATGGGTATACCTGTTAGTCATCTGGAAAAGTATTTAAAGAGTAGCTAGTGAAATAGAGTAATTGAAATGTGTATAAAGATCACAGAGCAGAGAGGGATTGGAAATTCTTGTTTTGGATGGCAAAACAATAATCAACTCAGAAAACATGGCCCAAAATTAAATACAAGTCTGTAATGCCATTATATATGGTAATGAAAAAGACTTGTGACTTCATTTTTCAGAGGACAGGTCTGAGGCCAGGGGCTTCCTAATTACCATTACAGAGAATCTGGGCTTCGTGGAATGCTTCATTTTGGAGTAGTTTGTCACTGTAAAGATATAGACAAAATGGAAGGAATTCAGCAGTTAGCAAGAAACACTGTCAAAGTCTGAAGAGGACTGTTGAGGACAGATAGATTAATTTAAGCATGTGGTATGCAGCTAAATCCCGGTTAAGGAGATGGGGAGAGAAATGTAAGTGTATAAATATTTGAATGATGTAAATGTCAAACAGATATTTCTCTTGTAAACAGTGGTGTAAACAGAAAGGATGGAGGAAAAATTAAAGCTCTGTGCTGTGTATCCAAGGAACTTTGCCAGAGAAATGTAATATAAAAGCCCTGATTTCTGGAAGGGATGAAGGAAGCCCTGTCTCTGGAGAGAGTAATCAGACAGACAGAAGGCCTTAGAAAAGAAATCCTGTCCTGATTTTGATTAGGATAGCACTTTTTTGATTGTAACTTTGATGAATCGTTTTACTGGAGAACTCGTAAAACATTTTGTGTTTGGACAGGCTGACAGAAACCATCATTGTGGTTATTTAGTGCTGCCTTTTGAGTTAGTTGCAACATATTTCTTATTTGGAAGACTGTTCCTTTTTGTGTCTGACAACCTTCTGTAATAACATTACCTTAATATGTTTGCTGGAGGTGTGTAGGAGGAGGTCTTTGGGCTATTCTGTTACATTTGATTGAACTTTTAACTACCTGTGTAGCTTATCAGTGGGTTACTAAAGCTTTTTATTTTTTAGTAAGCATACCAGTCAATTTGGAGGAATTCCTGCACCTTTTTTTTTTTTAAAAAAAAAAAAAACCCAAACCAAACCTATTGCTAAAAGTAATGTTTCCTAGACTAAAACCACTACCAGCCATTCCTGCAATAAAATCAGTTAGTATACAAGGAATTGTGATACTTATTCCAGGAATACTCTCTATAGACTTTCTTTTTAAATTTATAAATTACATACAACTCCAGAGCAGGAATTTTGGTCATCTTTGTTTTGCACAGTTAGCTGAGATGTCCCCAACTTTAGTTAAATAAATAAATAAATTGACGTGAACTTCCAGGTGATCAAAAAAGGAGAACCACTGGCAGAAAACAATTAAAGGCAGGTCTTGCGTGGTGTGGCTATCATCTACTGTCACTTCAGTAAAATGCTTAGCAAAATGTACTGTAGGTTTCATCATAGATGGAGAATGTACATTTTCAGAAGAAAAAGAGATGATATAAGATTTCTTGTATAGTGCTTTAAATATTATAAATTCTGAAGATTTCTTTCTGTAATTATTTCTGAATATGTCAAATATAAAAATGAAGTTAAAATATTCTGAATGAAATCAGATTACAGCTCCAAAAAGTTAAAATCAGCTTGGTATTTAATTGAAGTTTAGCTTTTAACATAAAATAACTCCTTGCTTTTTCTAATCCAGTGTAATCTAATTGCAGCTGATGAGTAAAGAGTCTCCAGTCTCTGTTGGAAATGATGCTTACGTTGACCTTGATCGTCAGGTATCTGATATCTTAGATATTTATTTTCCTTCAATCCTAGCACATCAGTGGCCAGTCATTTTGTTTTATTAAGACGTCTGTATTTTTTTCTTTACTTATTAAAGGGTTTTATGGATATTCAAATAAGGAGTGGAAAACTAAATATCAGTATTTCAGGTCCATTTGCTTTATAAATTGATTTTATCCATTTTGTGTATTTAAAGGAGAGGAAAAACTCAGTTTGGAAAACAAGTTTAGCTGTATGACATAGTATATCAAAACTGCAGACAGGTACAAATCTCTGGGTATTGAGAAAGAAGGGTAAAAAGATGTGTAGTGTTTGAATAAAACTTTTTTTTCCAGTTTCCTACTTCCAAAATCAGTTAAAAAAAAAAAAAAAGTAGATGTGGATCACAGATCCTTAAAGCAGTTCTGGAAACTGTTACAATATATGAGAACTTCCAAAGAGAATCATTCCCAGTGATATACTTAAAGAATGTACAAAACCAATTGTTTTTTTTACTAGCTTAATCTCATGCTAACACTGTCCTATTTTCTCACTTTTTTTCTGTTTGAGAAGTATAGTATTGTTGTGTTCCTTCATCATGCTTTCTCTGCAGAAGTATGTAAATTCTGGCAGGTGGTATTAATTTTTGTATGTCAACAGGCCCTTGAGAATTAAACTTGAAAAAATATGATACAATGATGCTGTTTAAGAAAGCCCCTGTAAAATTCACCATATATTATAGTACATATCTATATCCATAACATGCATGCACCTGTTTTATCAGACCAATTTTCTCATAGCTATTTTTTTTGTTATCTTAACTGCACTCATATGCAAACTTGTAAGACACATGTTTTAGAACATAAAGCATTTGAAGGGAAGTATGTGAATATTTCCCATCATTTACAAGATGCAGTGCCCTTTTTCAGAAGGGTAGGCTTCTTCCTCACCATGTCAGTTGTTTCCCTGTTGTACAGTAAGAGTAGCTTCCATTGACTAGAGAGATTTTACCCTAATTGTTCATTCCCTGCATTCCATGTTCCAGTCCTTTGTGTATTTTAAAAAGTATGTTGAAAACTGAAATTATGCACTCTTCGCATCTGTAAAGAAAAGTGGTATTGACATTTTTTTCAGTGTACAGAGTTGATGAGCTCTTGAGACCCAGGTTCTCCAGGATTTTTTGACTCAATTCATAGAATGGGTTTAATAATTCTAATGTATTTTTATAAGACCAAATATTACTTAGAGGTATGTCTAATTTTATGGTCACACAAACTAAACAGTAATTGTATATGATTCTTTGTTTGTAATAGTGGAATTGCCTCAGTTTTCTGAAAATTTAATATATTTCCTAAGTGTAAAAATAATTTTACAGTCATGTAGTTCAGAGTATTTTTAGACACTTCACAGAGAGTGATGAAACTATGAATGTTTGTCGTTTATGGTAGCTGAAGAAGACTACAGAAGAATTAAATGAAGCACTAGCAACAAAAGAAGAAATTGCCCAGAGATGTCATGAATTAGATATGCAGGTAGGTTTGCGATGTTGTACATATTAATTATAAAGTGGGAAAGAGATGTGTTAATTTTTAGGCAGCTGAAAACAAAAAGTATAGTATGAAAACATAATTTTTAAAATGAAAATTGCACAGTAATTAATTTACTTCTGCTATCAGAGAGAATTTCATTGTTTTCTTATCTTGATGCAATGTTGCCAGTATTAAGATGATTCATAGTAACAAAACTTTTTTTCATTCAGGTAGGAAGGGGCTAAGCTGTGTAGTTCAAGTCTTTCATTAGAAAACTAATAGATGTTATGCTGCTATAAAAGTTTCAGTTAATAGTTAAATCCCAATCAGAAGTTACTGTAGTCTATCAGCTGTGTATGGATTTATACTAAACCTTTCTGTACATCAAGTGTAACTCATCTGGAAGACATGAGAAGTGTAAAATGGGAGCCCCAAAAGGCATTGCCATTGCAACCCTACTTTGGAGTATAATTCAGGATTTTGCAAAGCACTTCAATAACTGTTAGAACCAACGAAGCTGATTTGGTTGTCATGGTTGATTTTTGGTGTATTTGATGATTCAAGTTCATATTGAAGCACTTCCTTCTGTTGAGATGTTCACACTCCCTCTCTTCCCTTCCTCCTGCATGTTAATTCTATACTATTTAATAATATATGAATCCATGCCTCAGCTGTTGTTTGAGTTGCAGCACTTTGGGTTCTTTGCACTACTGCCTGTTTTCACAGCATTGGCAGAAATCTTTAGGACTGTCTTCCTGTTTCAGGTCTGCTTGCAATTAACCACTGGATTCAAAAAAAAAAAAAAAAATCTAAGAAAGGCATAGCTATCTCTTGGGTATGCAAGCTTTGATATTCTGTGTGACTGATGGGCATTGTTTCTTTTGGAAATCAGCTTTAAAAGATTTATTGTCGAGGGATAGTTTTATTTCTTGGTAAAGTATGCAAACTTCATTATAATAAAGATATCTTGTGATGACTTGAGAAGCTTGTGTGGAATACAGTTAAGAATAATGATGTTTTCTGTGTGGCAAATCTGCCCCTAATGTTGCAATATGTTGGTTAACTCACATACCAGTAGAATACCTATTAATGTTACAGTATATTCTGGTGAATTGTAATTACTGAAGCCTGTGTGTTTCCATTTGTGGGTTGGTTGATACCTTATTATGCACAAGAAAAACACTGCCCTCTGTTGCTGGATAGCTCAGGCATTCCAGTTTATGATTTTATTACAACAGGTTGCAGCCCTCCAGGAGGAGAAGAGCAGCTTGCTTGCTGAGAACCAGATTTTGATGGAACGTTTAAATCAATCTGACTCTCTTGAAGATCCCAACAGCCCTGCAGGTCGTAGGCATTTGCAGCTGCAGACACAACTAGAACAACTCCAAGAGGAAACATTCAGGTAGAAAAGCTACACTTGGTTAGTTTGCTTGTTTGTAGCTGTCAACAGACATGACTTACATACTTCTGGTTGCGTTGGCAATTATGAATTAGTGTAATGGGTGTTATAACCATAGTAGTAAAGTTTTCATAGTGATGCACGTGTTAGGATTTAGCTCTTTACAAGCTCCAGTGTAAAAAAGTGCATCGTTACTTAATGATGAAATGTTGTATACATGTCATTCGCTACTTTGTGAAGTTGTTTCGAATTGTGTGCAATCACTTCACCTGTGTTCTTCAAAACCAGTGAAAATGAAAAGTTTCCTCTATTTAAATTACTCTGGTTGTATTTTTAAGGTGTAGGAATTCCTAGATGAAAGTTTGCTGTGAGCAGTATTATTATACAGAAAAATGTATCCTTCTCTGAGTTTGAAAACAAATTATTTCGTATCTGAAAAATGGATATCATCCACAAGTGAACTCTGCTCTTCATTTGCATTTCCTCAACACATGGAAGTACAGTTCCTCTTTAAATATCTTTCCTCCTCCTTTCGACTGTTGCTTTCAGGCTGTGTAACCCTGTTCTGCTGAAGAAAGCTAGTCCACTTTCCCTATCCCTTGCAAATAGAACTATACTATTTCTTTACACTGCCAGTTTTTCTTCTTTTTCTGTCCTCTTCTGATTGCTCATTTCTAATTTTGACACTAGCTGCCATATAACTTTCCTTTTTTGCCTCTTTTGCCATTTTTCCACTTCCTTTTTGCGGTGGTTTGAGCCCAGAGGGCGACGGAACACCACAATGCCATTCACTCACCACTTCCCTCTCAGGAATGGGAAGGAGAAAATAAAGTAGAAGGCTCGGGGAATCAATATAAGGACAGGGAAGGGTGACTCACGCATGGGCAAACGACAGACTTAAGGAAAGTAAAAAAAGAACAGCGCTTTAATTCAAATGCTAAAACATCAATTAATATAATGGGACAGTGAGAAGTATTATGGCATCTTAAAAATACCTTCCCCCACCCCTCCCTTCTTCCCAGACTCAGTTTTGTTCCCGAGTTCTCTACCATATCCCCACCGGTGGCACAGGTGGGCAGAGGATGGGGGCTATGATTAGTCCACAGCTCCTTCCTCCTTAGGGGGAAGTGGAGGCACTCCTCATTATTCCCATGTTCCATGAGGTTCCCCTCTCACAGGAGACAGTCCTCCACAAACTTTCCCTGGTGTGAGTCCTTCCCATAGGATGCAGCCATTCCCTTGCTGCCCCGGTGTGGGTCACCCCCGTGTGTAGTAATTCTCCCAGTGCTGAGCTACAACAGGGAGGGCCGCTTCTCCCCTCAGATTCCCAGCCTCCTTTAAGCACAGACACCTGCTCTGGTGTGGACACCTCAACTGGCTGCAGGTCAGCCTCTACTCCACTGCGGACCTCCGTGGGTTGCAGGGAGGGGTGGCCCTGCTGTCTCACCACGGGTTACAGTGGGGCTCTCTGCTGCAGCACACCTCCCTCCTTGCTCTTCCTTTCTTCCACTGACCTCAATATTTGCATAAGTGTTCTGCTCACAACTCCCACAACTCCTCCTCTTGGGTTCCCCTTCTTAAATATGTTATCACAGAGGCACAGCCACCATCGCTAATTGGCTTGGCCTTGGCCAGAGTCGAGTCCAGCTTGGAGCTGGGGGATCTTCAAGAAGCTTCTCGCAGGGGACCACCACTGTAGTCCATTTCCCTACTACCAAAAACTGTGACACACAAACCCAGCACAGTCTTGCTAAGCCTCTTTAGGGAGTGCTCAGACACCCCCTCTCCCTTCAGTTGCTTGAAAAATGTTCAGTGTTTTGCTTTCACAGAAGCTAGCTCCTGGTTGTATTCTTTCTATACATCTACCATGTCAAGGAATAATGTAGTGATGTCTCTCAAATGTGCCCATTTAGCTCTCCTTATTAACCTCCATGCTTTGGAATGATTTCTACCCGAGTCTGTTACCTATTTCTGTTTGAGCAGGTTGTGTCCCCATATGTAATGCCTTCATTGCCTGTTTCAGTTTCTGAAGGTCTTTCTAAACCCTTTTCACGTGTGGGATGCCTTCCCCTGTCTTCATAGTGTGTGGTTTCTAATGCCAGTTTGTGTGTGTACCTTCTCCAGCTCTACCTGCCCAAACAGGGCATGTGTGCAGCTTAACTGATGCCCAGTTTGGTACAACAGTTTTTTTCCTGTTCTTGCCTCTTCGTGTCCTTTGACAGTGCTGGTGAATCACAATCCAAATCTTTGTTGTATATGGTTTAGATGACCTACTATCTCTTACTTCCATTCTTGTAGATTCTTTTTGGACTCCTTGAATTAATGGATAGAATACTTCCTGTGCGTGTGCCCGCCCATACCTCTTTGTCTGGATTGTTTTTAATTTCAGATTAAAATAACAATAGGGCTTCATGTTCCAGGTTGTGTCCTCTTCCATTCATTCAAAAGGCTTTGACAAAGGTTTTCTTAGTTATTCCCTTTGTTCATGGCCAGGTTGATGCGGCTTTGCCTGTTTATGCTTTATGTAAGTAGTTCACTTCAGAAACTTTGGTCTGAGTTTTTTACATGCTAACTAGATAACTAAATGTATGACTTGGTTCTTCAGAGGTACTGGGCAGGCAGAGGTTTTTTATAAGTAAATAAATAAAGCCACATTGGTGAGAGCTCTACTGCGTGTTGAACATCTGACAGTCAGGTCAGTATTGTTGAAGGTGTATAGGAGTTGAACAGCTGAACAAAATCTTAGGATAAAATGTAATGTTCAAACTCTGCGTGTCCCAAGATGGAAGGAGGTGGAAATTTCTGCTTGAGCTTCCATTGTGAAAAATTACTATGATAGAAAAAGCTCAGGATTTGTCTTTCATATTACATACCTATAACATACATTACCTTGTGATTTTCCAAATAGACAGACTGATATCAAATTGGGAGCATCAGAAAAGTCAGTCTACTTTTACATTTTTGAATAAGCACATTGGGCTGTTGTTCCCCTTTGCTGCACCAGACGGCCGCTTCATGTGTTTTTAGAGAGGATAATGGTGAAGAAAGGTAACTGTGTCTCACAATGAGAAATTATGTTCTGTTTTACTTAATTTCTACAGATTAGAAGCTGCCAAAGATGACTATCGAATACGCTGTGAAGAATTAGAAAAGGAAATTGCTGAATTGAGACAACAAACAGAAGAGCTTACTACATTGGCAGAGGAAGCTCAGTCTTTGAAGGATGAGATAGATGTACTCAGGTAAACTCTGTTCTAATGGAGAGAACTTTTTAACTATTAACTTTTAATTCCTATAATTCATGTACTTAGTCTCCAATAGCTTTTGTTCAAATAATCTTAATATTAAATGCATTTTCTCAATGCCAGGATTCTTTTGCAACTTCTAAATAAGTACAAAGACCACCACACAATTCTGCTTAAGTAAATTAATTAATTATTATGTACCTAATCAATAACTATTTGTAAACTCATCAATCCTACTACACCATCTTATGGTAATAGCAAATCACTCACTGGTCTTTTGAGTATTTTCTATTCACACTTTTCAAGACTTGAACATCTGTTCTCATAAGAAAACTAGACCCTTTCTTTCCCTGGTGTTGTGGTTTGAGCCTGGTCGGCAGACAAACACCATGCAGCCACTCACTCCTCCCTTCTCTTCCAGCAATGAGAAGGGACAGATGAGCCAGGCTTGGGATTCGATATAGGACTGGGAGGGGCAGGTCACCCATTATGGTCACGGGCAAAAGGCAGACTTGTTAGGGGAAGAAAAAAAGAACATACATTTATTACAGACACTAACAACAACACTTAACAGAGTAGGACAGTGAGAAGCGTTGCTACATCTTGAGAACACCTTCCCCCCACCCCTCCCTTCTTCCCGGGCTCAGCTCTGCTCCCGATATCTCTACCTCCTCCCCACAGCAGCTCAGGGGCAGGGGATGTGGGGTGCAGTCAGTGCTGCCGCTTCTTCTATTTTCGGTGGGGGGAGCTTCTGGATCTTCTCACCCTGCTCCACCATGGTCCCCTTCTCACAGGAGACAGTCCTCCACAAACTTTCTCCAACAAGAGTCCCTCCCTCGAGCCACAGCGTTTCCTTACAGTGCTCTGGCGTGGTTCACTAACTTTCTCCGACTGGATTCCCTCCCACGGCTGCAGCCCTTCCCGAGCTGCTCCAGCATGGGACACCCCCGCATGCTGCAATCCTCCCAGCACTGAATTACAGCAACAGGGCTACCTTTTCCCATGAGACCCCGGCCTTCTTCGGGCACAGACACTTTGATCAACCATGAGAAAACACAGGCCATAAATCAATGTCTGCTCCACCGTAGATCTTCATGGGTGGCAGGGGGGGCCGCCCTGCCGTCTCACCACAGGATACAGGGATGTCTCTGCTCCGGCACACCTCCCCCCTCCTTTCTTCCTCCGTTCCTCCACTGACCTTGGTGTTCATGCAGCTGCAGCAACTCCTCCTCACAAGTCCCACTGCTCGTCACCACGTCCCTTCTTAAATAAGTTATCACAGAGGCGCAGCTGATTGTCTCAGTTTCCAAACAGAAGTGGAGCTGACTTGGAGCTGGGGGAGCTTCGAGAAGCTTCTCACAGGGGGCCGTCCCGATAGCCCCCTCCCCTGCTACCAAAAAACCCCACCACTCACTCAAACCCAGGATGCATTATTTGGACTTTGGCGCTTTTGTTTCATCATATAATGCTAATATGAACAACATCTGTTATATCTCTTATTACCACTAAATTTTAGCACCCAAAGTTGTCATGATTTGATGGTGCGAGTGTTTTAGAGGGTGGGGCAGCCCCTTTTACTATGGAACATAATCCTTCAGTAGTGGCATCTTGTTGCCATGGGTTATTCAGAACTAGTTATCCACTACCCATTGATAGCACTCTTTCCATTAAGTCTAGCAAGACTCATTTTAATACTGCCTTTTTTAATTCACCAGTAGCTTTCTAGCAAAGCTGTCCGTCTTTGCCTGCTCTGTCATTAATAGAAGGAATGAGCCCATCAAGCTGCACAATTCCATAAACTATCTGTGTGTACAGCACGTGTTCAGAGAGTAATTTCTTGCCCCAGAGAGAGGCTCGGCATTTCATTGGGGATTGAAGAGATTTGGCTTGCCCCAGTGACTTATAAATTGACCATCAATTCAATGGGGAATTCTTCAGATTTCATAGGAAATTGACTCTGTAAATCCGTTGGTTCTAAAATGAAACTGGGTACAGTAGTAATAGCAGCAGTATGGGTGACTGTGGGTAAGGGCTTTTGTTACCCTGGCAGTGCACCAAGTGGATTGAAAAAGCTGCAATGTTATGAACAGAGACTGTTTTTTCATATTCTTTTAGAAGGAATTATGCTTCAGAGCTGTTATGGTAGTTCTGTGTCATCAAGTATATGCTGCTCAGGAGATAGGTCTGCACGGTTTTACTCCTGGTTGTCATTAAAACAGACTGCAGGGCAGAAAATTTTATTCCTTACCCTTGTAAAATGCAGGACTGAGGACTGATTTAGAATTGAAGGGAAATGCGTAGGAGTGAAGATCCTTCATTTTTTGAAAATTGGAAGCAGGTAAGAAGGCTGTCTTAGGAAGAGTGATAGTTTCTAAAGGTACCTCCATCAGCAGCAATTTTTGTTGACAGATATTTATGGGAGGGGAGCAGACAATCTGAAAATTAAAACATTAGTAATAGGAGCATATGATTGCTTTTTTTTTCTCCCCAAGATGTCTCAGAATGTTTTTTGCATTTAGGCCAAATACTGAAGAAGCTTCAGGACATTTCATTTTGTTAGTTTTCAGAGTACAAATCTGATGCAAATCTGTCCCTCCAGGCATTCTTCTGATAAAGTAGCCAAGTTAGAAAGCCAGGTAGAGTCATACAAAAAGAAGTTGGAAGACCTGGGTGATTTGCGACGGCAAGTGAAACTCTTAGAAGAGAAGAATACAATGTACATGCAAAATACTGTGAGCCTGGAAGAAGAGCTAAGGAAGGCCAATGCAGCACGCATTCAGCTGGAAACTTACAAGAGACAGGTAAGAACAGACTTCATCAATAACAACAGTTCTCTGTATTGTTCAACAGTTTCTCTTTATAACGTGACTAATGCCTCAAACTAAAAAATTATGAACAAACAGCTACTTGTGTTTAGAAGACTTCCACGTTTTGTAGGTACTACCTCTGTCCTCCTTTCCTTCAATTCCTACCATTATTTCAATTTTACATTAGTTTGCCTATAAACAGTATTTCTTACTTTGAAAAAAATCAAAAGATGTTAAGCTTTTTTTCTCAAATTATTCCTAATTCATATTCAGTAGTGGGGCTTGAATTAGAGCCTCTTCTTTCAGAAGTGTATCCACTTTTCGTGTATAAATTTTCATCAGTGAGGAATGCACCACAGCTGAGGTAAGTTATTCCTGTGATTAAGTAACCCCTTTCTTTTAAGGTTCTAGTTTGTCTGTTATGTCTGAATTTGTCCACTTATGAAGAGAGAAGGATGCATATCATCCATGTTGTTTATATGCACCCAGCAGAGTACAAGATCTGTCATCAGTACACTCTGCGGAGTGAAAGGCACCTGTTTATCCTGCTTATTTAAGTGCCATGTGATCCTGTTTCTGTAAAGGTGGAAAAGAGGCTTAATCTTCTCTCTGCTTCTACACTACATTGACATGACAACATTCTGGGATTCTTGTTACAGGGCCAGACAGACCATGGTTCATTATAGTAGTAGAGCCTGCTCATCAGCTTGAACGGTCATGGCACAGGGGTCCCTCTATGTCAGCTCACAGCAGAATGAATATACAGAACACTAACAACATTGCAAGACCAGGAACAATGTGTGTCCCTCAGACTTGATAGCTTTTTCCCTACAGCTGGCCATCTTAGTTATTAAGACAACTAGTTTCAGCCTCTATGGGCTAATTATAGATACAGTCCAAATGATGCTACCAGGAAAAAAGAATTTGGACAAGAAAAATACTGAAATAACGGACAATGAAAAGGAGAAGTAAATGTAGAAAGCAATGGCCTTTCATACATGAGTAGTATCATGTTTACTGGCAACAAATATGTCACTTCATTGAACAGCTGAGCATGTGATATAGTTGTGTAACCTCAACATCTGCATCTGATTGTTCTTATTTCACCAACAACAAGGATTTTGGAAGGAAAAGTCCCATAATTTGTGTTGCAAAAGTACTCTTCCTTATCTTCATCTCTCCCTGTGTTTTATGGGTAAGATTTCATGTCTGAGGAGGTATTTATTTGTACAAAACTTTTCTGCTGGCTGAGACTAGAATAAATCTTAGGTGTCCCATGACAGATGTGAGTTTTCTTTGCCTAGTAACTGTACCTCAAAATGAACACAGTGTGTTTTTCTTCGGTGTCTGTAAGGCTGGACACCTTCTGAGACCTGCCTGTCAATCATGAGCTGTCACAAAATTAGTTTCTGGAAATCCTAAATTGTGCTACAAAAATTAAGCCAGGTATAAGTATTCTGGTGTTATTTCACTGCTGAGCACTAGTGTGCCCTTGTAGTAGCATGTGTCTTGTCTGGTGTGTGAAGGATTCAACCCCACTCATGATGATGCCATCGAAGAGTTACTTCTTTGATTTAGCTCTGTGCTGTGCAGATGAAAGTGCTTGGTTCAAACTCATATAGTGATCTGCAAGGAAATTGCATCTTTACTCCACACAGCAGTTTCTGTGAGATGAGGTTAGTGGTGTTGTATTGTGCTGGGAGATGCAATAGCATTTATTTATTTAAGAGTTTTTGTTCGCTTTTCTGAAAGCAAGCACAAGCATTTTCCAATAAACTTTTTATTGCGGCATGAAGAATTGAAATGTGAAGATTCCAGGATTATTTTTTGTAATTTTAATTCAGCCCCTTTGTGCATGTACATTCTGATATATTTTTAACAGTATGTCTTGCTTTTCTTTGCTGAAAGATTCCTGCTTTACTCATTCCACACATTTGATAATGCTCAGTAAATGTGATGGCAGTTATTGTTTTTTTTTTAATCCTTCTGCATTACCATGTAGCTGTATATCTTTCTATACACTCCCAAGTCCTGATTCAAGACAATTTATTTCCTGCTGTGTTTTTCTACATATCATTACCATAGCATGAGTGAATACAAACATTAATGCCTTTGTTTCCATTTGCAGTGAAAACATACCTATTTTGCAAGTGGGGGCACAATCACAGGTGAAGGCCTGCTTTTTTTTTTTTTTTAATACCTGCAGTTATTCTGATAGCCCCAGTGATGGATGTCACATCTGAGAAACGAAATATTTTCAGATCTAACATTTTGACAGATTTTTTTTTAATATGATAATCTCAGAAATGGCAGGTTTATGCTTTTTTTGCAGCCTTTAATTTAAGAACAGCAACAGCAAAGTCCTACTCTAAGACTGAAGATCATGTAGATTTTTAGGCCTGGTAGTTATTTTACTGTAGTTATACACACTGAAAATAAAAGGTAATTAGAACCACTAGGCAGTCTTAATGTAGGTATGGCTACTGCTTTGCTTCACAGTTTCAGTTAATCACTTTCTCTGTAATCTAAAAGCCATAAAAAAGCCTTCTTGTGAACTACTTCAGAAGAAGCTGTATTTCTTTAGCTGAGTCTTCATTCAACTTTTGTGCTTGCAGGTCAGTCTTTATTCAGCTTGCTTCCATGCTCTCTGCATTATGAGCTTTACTAATGTTCTGGGAATGAGCCTTTACTAGTAAAGGCTGAGAGTTTTGAAAAGGCAAGACTCACTGATTTGCCTCCTGTCCACTGATCGTTTCTGCTCAGTTTTTAGATTTCTGCTCATTTAACTTTAAAAGCTCTTTATGGATCTGTAGTTGAAAGTATACATGAGACTTTGTTAGCAACGTTTCCTTCTGAAGTAAAGAAAACTGTTTGTGAGCCTGTGACTGAATCTTTATATTAGTGTATTAAAAATGATTAGGAAAATCTCAGGTTAAGAAACATTACCTGACTTCATAAACTGGTGGTTAAAGTAGTATATCCTGTAGGCAACTATTTCACTTGTTTACAACATGACAGTGGTACATGGTAATTAGCTACTTTGTCTTGTGTATCTTGTTTTAATATTAATATTTGCAGACAAATTATTGATTCTTGTTCTCACAGGCAGTTGAACTACAAAACAGGTTATCTGAAGAATCCAAGAAAGCTGATAAATTAGATTATGAGTGCAAACGACTGAAAGAAAAAGTAGACAGCCTCCAAAAAGAAAAAGATGTAAGTGCCAAGGTGTTCTTTTTTTGGTAGTAGCGATAGTAATTTTGTGTCCTTTATAACACAGAGATATGGTAATTGTAGTTAGCCATGTACGGCAGGCTTTTTAAATTAGGAAGTCTTTTTTCACTAAAAATTTTCTAATGTTTGTGTAAAACATCTCTTTTAAACCTAAGAACTGTACAGTATGGAATAAAGTGACTGTACAAAAGTATATACAGCCCATTTTTAAGGGGAAAAGCTTTCGTGTTTGGGAGCTGAAGTTATTTCTTGGCCATTTACCATGAGAAGGTTGATAAACACCAAAGGTAATTGTAATGCATTCTGAAAAACTATTTAAAGTAGTGTTTCTGCAGTATCATCCTAGACCTAAACTCCTGTTTCTTTTTTTCTAAAGCATTCTTTGAGGTACCATCGGCATGCTTCTCTTTGTTGAGTCATGACTACTGCAGCAAGAGGCTTAGGACTCATGTAGAGGGGTGTGTTCTTTGTGGAGATCTTGCCTTTTATGACAGCTCCTTGTTGATCTGTCATGTACTGTCAGCATGGAACACACAGGATGGATACCAGTCTATTCCCTTCCTCTGTCATCTGCTGGTAGTGATTCTGTGAATAATTGCTTTGTCCTCTCTTGCCAAGTCTAGTCCTTCAGACTTCTCTTGCACACTGCTGTTTATCACCAGCTTATTTTGGCTTATTTCTTAGGAATGAGGCAGGTGCCTCAAACTAAGGCTGGCACTTTGAGTTAGCAATTTCTTAGGCTTGCTTTAAGTCCATCTATCCATCAGTCAGAATCTCTGTAGTGCTTTCCCTCAATAATCATATTTCCTGTCCAATGCTTTCCAAAATTTCCAGCCCTTGCACTTGAGTAGCAATTGGACTGGAAGTTTTCAGTTATTTTCTGTTCATAGGTCTTTGATTTCTATATTTTCTTAAATTTTCCAACTGTTGTGGACACTTGTCCTTGATATCACTTCCATCTGCCCTCAGTTCAGATTGGAATGCCCATAGTAACTATTCGTACTGTGCTTTGACTTTCTTTCCTGCTCGTTTATTTAAAGTTTGTTTTTCCAGTTTTGTTATGTTTGACAATGGTAAGGTTGTGTCTATGGCTTACCCATTGCTTGGTGGACCATTTCATCTTGCACAAAGGATCTGAATTGCAGGCCATTGTCATAGTTTTCTGTTTTTCCCCCTTGCAAATAGCATTTTTTTGGGCAGAAGTTGTCTTTTGAATGGATATGCACCTGTGAGAAGTAGATTACAGCTGAAGTCTCAACATTTGAATTAGTGATTCACTACCTGTGTTACTCTTTTTGTTCCTTGTTGTAACATACATATCAGTACGGTTGCCCACTACAGATCACAAGCTATGTAGTGGTATTTTGTCAGTTATATTTTGGAAACAGTACTGAAATTGATTTTGTCTGTGTCTTTCTGTTCTGGCAAAGTGTGATAGTGTGTTTGATATATTCAGCTATGTGGCTTGGAATTTTACCTCTGTGGCATGTTGTATGAGAAGTACTAAGATAATTTTATGAATTTCCTTTGTCTACAGTGTACAAAGGAAGCCCTAGAGTGAGCCATTTCGATTCATTAAAGTATTCTGGCATTTGATTAATAAACTTGGTGTTTTCTGACTGATGGTAGCAGACTGCAGAATTCTTGCTTTGAGCAGCTGAGTTTCAGCAGTCCTGTGTGTGGCTGCTCTTCTGTAGTATTTATGGTTAAATCAGTTTTTGCACCTGTGGGGTTTGTGAAATTACTTTCAGTGCTAACAGAATGTACACTTTATTCAGATTGTTCTGACCGTTGCACCAGAATTCACTTTGCAGGATTCAGAAATACAGCAGAAGCCTCTGTCACACCTCACTAGAATGTTCTTTGCCAAAGTGATTCCAAGTCCTGGATCCATTTGGGCTGAAAGATAAAGTATATCTGAATCAGACTGTTAATAGAATGAAATGTAAGGAGCTGTCAGCCAACAGGACTCCATACCTACACAGAGCTGAGGTCTGTCCTGGACCTTTTAGTAAATCTGGACACATTTGATTTTGGAGCAAACTACAACTTGAATCTTTACATGGTTGCCATTTTCTCCTTTCATTTTTGAATGTTGGCAACCTTCTGGACAAAAACTTGATGCTGTCTGTAGATTCTAATTTTTTGCCAAAAGGGGACTTGTGCCAAATTAGCAGAATATTTGCCCAATGCTACTGAAGAGCCCATCTGTCTAGATCCCAAGGTGGTCCATTTCTGTTCTTCAGCAACTAGTTTTCTTTGATAGCTAAGATGCTGGTGAATGTCAAGGCCAGTGGACACACAGGAGGAAGGGGATATGGAAATGCTGCTCACACTTTCACTGTTGAAAGATAAGCAGAATTAAGTTCATACCATTTATTATGTTGACTGTGTGCTCACCTGCTTTTTATTTCACTTCTGGTTTCATTTATTTCATTTCCTTGGTTTCTTGGTGAGGGAAAAGTCTACAGTCTCTTAATTCAGTTCCCTTTCCCCTGGAATCAGCTCTGATGAAGGGCAAAGGAAGATGGCTGAGTGGCCCCAGTGGATGCTGTTTACTACCTGGTACCAGAACTTCGTGTCACTAGTAATCTTGATTTTGTAAGCTTATACACTGATATTTATATCCCTGTAAGTGTAGTACAGAGCAGCAACCCTTCTCAAAAAGCCCACTGTTCATGTGGAATATATAATATTAATGTTTATTTTATTCTGAAATAGACTGAAATACCCTAATTTGAAAATCATCTCTAAAGTTGCATTTAGAGTGGACTCTTAAAGATGTGGACTGTTAAAGATGGACGTGTTGTGCCAAGACTGATACTCATTCTCTTTCCAATTATTCAGAGATTAAGAACAGAAAGGGATTCTTTGAAAGAAACTATTGAAGAGCTTAGATGTGTACAAGCTCAGGAGGGTCAACTCACTACTACAGGTAAAGGACAAATAAGGAGATTAAATGTATATTTTCTAAAGTTTACAGGACTTCTCTGGAGAGTATTGAATGTGCTCTTCTTTAGCACAGAATAAATTCAAGCTCCTTTAAGATCAGCAGTGGAAAGCTGCTTCAGCTATTCATAACTTCGTAAGCATTTGAAAACTTCAGATGTTATTTCAGTCTCCTCCCCAGTGTGACATTTTTGTAATATATTTCTGATTTTCTTTAGAGAGATTTTTTCATGTGTGTGTGAAGTTTCATGTGTTACAGTTTATTTCTGTGTGCAATGTTGCATAGCTCTGTAGTTCTTAGATAAGCTATTGAGCAGAAAATACACCACAAAATTACTTCATCAGAATGGATGATTATTTGCCAGATGAAATTGTGCTTCTCTGTCTTGCTGTAGCCTGACTTTGTGTCATTTTCTACTGTCTAGCATTACTCTGAAATTGTAATCTTCTAGAACAATGTTTACTTCTGGTCTTTTAAAGTTATTGGTCTGCTTGCTAAATTTTTTACTTTTCCTAACCCAGGATTGATGCCTCTGGGAAGACAAGAGCCTTCAGACAGTTTAGCAGCAGAAATTGTTACTCCAGAAATAAAGTAAGATAATGTGTGCTTTGTTTTACCAACTAACCTTTATGTTGTACCCATAGATGATTAGTTTGTTTTCAGTGTTAGGAAGTTACTACAATAAATGTTTGGGTTTTTTCTCTCCTTTTGGATTTCTGCACAACAGGAGCTGTTATGCTTAAGACAAAATTCAGTTGACCTCTCTTGAATTTGTATTGTGCTCAAAAAAAAAAAAAAAAAAAGGAAAACAGAAACCCCTTTATCATCATATTATGTCTCTTTGTCTACTGCACAGAGTTCATGTAACTGCAGCTTATATGTGCATTAACAGACAATAATATCTGTAACAACAACGTGGTGGTGTACAAGGGAGAAATGTCTAAAACTGTGAAAGGAACAATAAACCATAAATTCTGTTTTGTGTCATGGCAAATGTTCAGAGTCTATTAAAAGGGGCAGAAAAGGCAGAACTGAAAAGCATTGTATCGTAAGATGTTGCAGTCTCTTTTTAGCCTTCCCAGTATGCTAAAGTCTTTAAAGCAGTCACATCTCAGAAATCTGTTAGCTCTTTATGAAGTCTTTTGTTTTATGTCTACTAATACTGATACAGTATTTTTTCACTTGGAAATCTCAATATGGGTCAGATATGGTTCAGTAGTAAAATAATATCTTTCTAGAAAAATAATAATAGAAAAGGTTTGTTTTTCTTCCAGCTGTGCTGCTGCACCTTACTACAAGACCAATTCTTTTTAGTTTTGTTCAGAAACAACAGAAGAGAAGAATAATGTTTTCAGGCAGTGTTAGTGAAGTATGGAGTTACTGCATAAATCTTCCACATGATTGCATGAGATAGGACAGCACCCTAAACGTGGATAAATATCCAAGCATAGCCTGTGGTTGCAGTGACTCTTCGTCTTTGGCTACTGAAGTTGAATTTTGGATTTTATGCAAGCATACATTTATGGAGACTGTAGCTGATAAACTTGGCCTCCATGCCTACTTGATAGAGGTGAACAGTAGCAGTGGCTGCTGTGGGACTACAACTTCCTGATCTGAAGGTCTGGACTGCTGTTTCTGCTGATGAAGGGGGAAGGCTGCTCAGAGTAGCCCACCCATAGGAGCAGCTACTACTATTCTCTTGTTCTCTGCATGGTGACAGACCATGGGTCTGTGATCAAACCCCTTTTTCCATTTCACAGAGAAGACCTGCAGAGAGTTTCATAAGGCAGATTCAGTCTGTGGCCTGTCAGTTGCACCTGAGGAAATCAGCAAGTTAAATGACATGAGGAGTTACCAGGGCTCATTGAAAGAGCTTTAAACTAGATTTGAAGGGGAAAAGGGATAAACCCACACTCACTAGAGATAAGCCTGGGGGTGTTATGCCACTGTTTTGAGGGACAGTGTGCTAGCAAGGTCCTTCAGTCTGCTCCATGATGAGTACATTTAAAATGTCCCTGTACAGCACCTTACCCATCTCAGTGGAAGTAGGGGGTGGAGATGCATGTTGCAGCAAAGATTTAGGGGTTGTTGATGTTTTAGAAACTGCTGAAGCACCTGAGAACAGTCACATAGGAATTAAGGCTTCTCCTCCCAAAAAGATGAATCAGTAGCACAACTGAAGTGCATCTACACCAATGCACACAGCATGGGCAACAAACAGGAAGAGTTGAAAGCCATTGTGCAACTGGAAAGCTATGATACAGTTGCAGTCATGCAAACATGGTGGGATGACTTGCACAGCTGGAGTGCTGCAATGGATGGCTATAAACACTTCAGAAGGGATAGGCAAGGAGGGAGAGGCAGTGGGGTGGCTCTGTATGTTAGGGAATATTTCGACTGTCTAGAGCTTGACAATGGTGACGGAGGGGTTGAGTGTTTATGGGTAAGAATCAGGGTAAAAGTCAACCAGGCAGATATGGTGGAAGTCTGTTATAGACCAGGATGAAGAGGCAGGTGAAATATTCTATAAGCAACTGGGAGAAGTCTCGCAATCACTAGCCCTGTTCTTGTGGGGGCTTCAACTTAACCAGATGTCTGCTGAAAATACAATATATCAGAGAGGAATCAGTCCAGGAGGTTCCTCAAGAGTGTGGAAGGTAACTTCCTGACACAGTTGGCGAGGGAGCCAACTAGGGATGGTGCCCCGCTGGACCTATTGTTTGCAAACAGAGAAGGACTTGTGGGTGATGTGATTGTTGGAGGCCATCTTGGGCAGAGTGATTATGAAATGATAGCATTTTTGATTCTTGGACCAGTGAGGAGGGGGGTTTACCAAAACTGCTGCCTTAGACATTCGGAGGGCAGGCTTTGGTTCAGGGGCCTGATTGTCAGAGTTGCTTAGGAGGCAGTCCTGAAGGGCAAAGGAGTCCAGGAAGGCTGGACATTCTTCAAAAAGAAGATCTTACAGGCACAGGAGCAGGCTGTCCCCACATGCCAAAAGATGAGCCGGTGGGAAAGACAACCACCCTGGCTGAACAGAGAGCTTTGTCTGGAACTCAAGAAAAAAATGTTTTTGAGCTTTGGAAGAAGGGGCAGGCAACTTACGAGGACTACAAAGATACCATGAGGTTATGCAGGGAGAAAATTGGGAAGGCCAAAGCCCTAATATAACTTAATCTGACTACTGCTGTAAAAGATGATAAAAAATGCTTCTATAAATACTTTCACAACAAAAGGAGGGTTAAAAAGAATCTCCATCCTTTATTGGATGTGCGAGGAAACATAGTGACAAAGGATGAGTAAAAGGCTGAAGTACTTAATGCCATCTTTGCCACGGTCCTTAATAGTAAGACCAGTTGTTCTTGGTGTACCCAGCCCCCTGAGCTGGAAGACAGGGATGGGAAGCAGAATGAAGTCCCTATAATCCAAGGGGAAATTGTTAGTGACATGCTACACCACTTAGGCACACACAAGTCTATGAGGCTGGATGGGATTCTATCAAGGGTACTGAGGGAGCTGGTAGAAGTGCTCATCAAGCCACTTTCCATCATTTATCAGCAGTCTTGGCTAACTAGAGAGGTCCCAGATGACTGGAGGTTAGCAAATGTGATGCCTATCTACAAGAAGGGCTGGAAGGAGGATTCAGGGAACTGCAGGCCTGTCAGCCTGACCTCAGTGCTGGGGAAGGTTATGGAGCAGCTCATCTTGAGTGCCGTCACATGACATGCATGGGACAATCAGGTGATCAGGCCCAGTCAGCATGGGTTTATCTATGACAAGATGACCTGCTTAGTAGATGAGGGAAAGGCTGTGAGTGTTATTTACCTGGACTTTAGTAAAGCCTTTGACACCATTTCCCACAGCATTCTTCTGGAGAAACTGGCTGCTCATGGCTTGGATGGGTGTACTGTTTGCTGGGTTAAATATGGTCTTGATGTCCAGGCCCAAAGAGTTGTGGTGAATGGAGTTAAATCCAGTTGCCAGCTAGTCACAAGTGCTGTTCCCCAGGCTCAGTGCTGGGGCCAGTTCTGTTTAATATCTTTACCAATGATCTGGACGAGGCAATCTCATCCTCAGTAAGTGTGCAGATGACAAGTTGGGTGGGAGTGTTGGTCTGCTTGAGGGTAGGAAGGCAGTACAGAGGGATCTGAACAGGCTGGACTGATGGGCCAAAGCCAGCTGCATGAGACTCAGCAAGGCTAATTGCCAAGTCCTGCACTTGGGTCACACCAACCCCATGTAACACTACAGGCTTGGGGAAGAGTGGCTGAAAAGCTGCATGATGGAAAGGGACCTGGGTGTGTTGGTCGACAGCTGGCTGAAGATGAGCTGGCAGTGGGCCCAGCCGGCCAAGAAGGCCAATAGCAACCTGGCTTGTATCAGAAATAGTGTGGCCAGCAAGACTAGGGAAGTCCCTTTGTACTCAGTACTGGTGAGGCCTCACTTTGAACACTGTATTCAGTTTTGGGCCCCTCAGTACAAGAAAGACATTGTGGTACTGGAGCTTATCCAAAGAAGAGCAACAAAGTTGGTGAAGGGTCTAGAGAACAAGTCTTATGAGGAGTGGCTGAGGGAACTGGAGCTGTTTAGTCTGGAGAAAAGAATGCTGAAGGGGACCATGTCATTCTCTACAACTACCTGAAAGGAGGTTGTAGCAAGGTGGATGTTGGTCTCTTTTCCCAAGTAACAAGTGATAGGATGAGGGGAAATGGCCTCAGGTTGCACCAGGGGAGGCTTAGATTGGATATTAGGAAAAATTTCTTCAGAAAAAGGATTATCAAGCATTGGAACAAGCTGTCCAGAGTCACTATCCCTAGAAATATTTAAAAGGCATGTAGACATGTGTTTTGCCAATTGATGGGGCTAACACAAAGGACACAGACACCAAGCTAAAGAAATAGGCTTATTTTACTTTATTTTAAAGCAGCAGAAAGAACAAACAAGATAATGCACCTACTCATCACTACATAAAGCTAGTTACAGTGATTAAGAAAGATGCATCACCAATTGCCCTCATGCTTTACCATCATCCAGACCCGTGCATCAGCTGGGGAGCCCCGTCACAGCGAAGGGTCAGAGAGCCTTTCCCGGCAGCTGGGAAGTCCTATGCAGGGCGTCCGCTCGTAGGTGAGGTCTCCGTCTGTGCTGTGAGAGGGTCTGGCTTTTATACAGTTTAACAAATAAATCTGTACAACATGCATGGGAGATAGCTGGTAGATTGATATGCCTCTCTCAGGCGTGTCCGGATCTGGCCAGGATCCGGGCATGTCTGAGGAGTTTCTGTTTTTCTTTACATTTGGGATTTATAGTTACTTCCTGTTGTTTACTTATAGTTCCCAGGGATTGTTCCCAGCTGCATTTTCACGCTGATAAGATGCTGGTTGCTTCATGCTGCTGATAAGATGCTGGTTGCTGGTCGGGGAATTCACTCAGAAGTCACCTTTGGTTTGAGGCCTATTGTTTGGGCCTTTTTTGTTTCAACATGGTGCACAGGGACATGGTTTAGGGGTGGACTTGGCAGTGTTAGCTTAATGGTTGGACTTGTCGATCCTAACGGTGTTTTCCAACTTAAACAATTCTGTGATTCTATGAAAACAGACCAATGAGGTAGAAGTGACTTGCCCAGGTTCATGCAGTAGTTCAGTGACAGTTTGATTACAACCTCCCTTAACACTTGGCACCAAGCTTTGTATTCTCCACATTCTACCTATAAATCTGCCCAGGTGTACTCTGAGATCTAACAGGGGCACTAAAGCAACTTCCTTGTGTTGTGCTTTCTACAATTACAACTCCTTTAATCAGATTTGTATTTGAGGGTTTGGAGACATGATTGTTGTCTCAGCTGCCTTCCTTAAATAGGTAAATATGATCTTTATGTTACATTTACACCTTCTGTGGTAAACTGTTTGTAGAAATTTGCATACTTTTTCATACAAAATTGTATTTCATGTGTTTAGGGAGAAACTCATTCGCCTTCAGCATGAGAACAAGATGTTAAAGCTCAATCAGGAAGGTTCCGACAATGAAAAGATTGCCTTGCTGCAGAGCCTTCTTGATGATGCAAACTTACGGAAGAATGAATTGGAAACAGAAAACAGGTAAGAATCTTTGTCCTCTGTTTCAATTGATTTTCTAACAATGCCATATGTTTTTGACTGTACTGTGTCCAATACTGGCCTCCCCAGTAAAAAAAGACATAGACTTACTGGAGTTGGTCCAGTGGAAGGCCACAAGGATGTGATTACAGGACTGCAGCACCTTTCATATAAGGAGCATGTGAAGGACAGAGACTACATAGCCTGGAAAAGAGAAGGCTCAGAGTGGATCTTATCAATGTTTATAAGTATCAGATGGGAGGGTCTAAAGGAAATGGAGCTAGACTTTTCTCAGTGATGCCCAGTAACAAGGGAAAAGACAGTGGGCAGAAATTGAAAGACATTAAATTTCATCTAAACGTAAGAACGTACTTACTTTACGAGGAGTGTTGCTGAACACTGGATTACATTGCCCAGAGAAGTTGTCTCCATCCTTGGAGATATTTAACACTCAACGGAACATGTTTCTGGGCAACCTTCTCTATCTGACCCTGCCTAGATTAAGCCAATCAACATACAGGCGTCCATGAGACCAGACAGTCTGCATATGAGCATGCTAAGGTAGCTGGCTGTTACTGTTGAGGCTGCTCTTTATCTAAGCTTTGAATCTGCTCTCTATCTAATCTTCCCCTTTTACTGGGGCAGGATCCTGAAGCCTGGGAAAAGGTAAATACTGCACTCACCTTCAAGAAGGGCAAGAAAGAAAGTCTGGAGAACTACTGAGACTGGTCAGCCACAGCTCATTTTCTGGGAATTTCATAAAGCAAGTCCATCTGGAATCTGTTTCCAGCCACATAAGGGACAAGAAAGTAATTAGGAAAGGCCAACACAAATTTATTCTGGGTAAATAATTCCTAACTAATCCAATTATCTTGACAGTGAGATGACTGCCTATGTGAAGAAGGGTGAAACAGTGGATGGTACTTACCTTAGCTTTAGCAAAGCCTTTGGCACAGTCTCCCATAGTATCCTTATGTTCAGAATGGGTAGATATAGGTTGAATAAGTGGACAGTAAATTGAGTGGAAAATTGGTTGGACAGATGGGCCTAAGGCACTATCATCGATAGAAAATCCAACTGGCAACTAGTTCCTCAGGCATTAGTACCAGGACCAATGCTGTTTATCACCTTTATCAGCAACTTGACTGATGGTAGGGACTATACTCTCAGCACGTTTGAGAATGGTACCACATTGGGAGAAGTGATTGATATGCTGAAAGGGTGATCTGTTATTCAGAGGAGATCATCAGTCCAGAGAAATGAGCTGATAGGAGCCCTGTCCCTGGATAGGACTAGCAGGCTGCGGAGCAGCTGTGCTGCAAAAGCCCTGGGGTCCCAGTGCGCGACAAAGGAGGATGTGTCAACTGGGCACCTTGCAGCTGACTGTGACCTGGGCTGTCCTCACCAGGGTGCAGAAAGTCAGTCTGGGAAAATGATCCTTCACCTCTCATCAGTACTTATCTGGATATAGCATATATTTTTAGATTCTCCAGTACAAGAAAGACATGGTTCTACAGGAGTGCAGCAGAGTACTTATAAGGTGAGAGATGCTGGAGCATGTGATACATGGGATAAGACTGAGAACTGGGTTTGTTCAGAGCAAAGAAATTATGACATTGAGATAATAGTGTGATCTACATGTGTCTGATGGGAAAGTGTTGGAGAATGGCTCAGAGACAAGGGTCCTGAGCCCACCGAGCAATTGTATGATCAGAGCCTGATCTAGCTGCTGATGCTGAGCCTCACTAGGGTTTGCCTGCAGCTGCTCGCAGCTGCTGATACAGGAGGAATGTCAAGGATGCTTCAGCCCTGTGTACCGTGGTGTGTCGAAAACAGGTTAAGGGGAATTAGGAATAGTGGTCTGAGAAACCCAGTGTTATGATAACGGTGGTCTGAGAAACACTGTGTTACGGTACTGTTGTGTATTGAAAACAAGTCAACAGGAATCAGAAATAGTAGCATGAGAAACTTAGTGTTGTGAGAGGCTTGTGCTGTAAGCTAACTGCAGGTGGGTGGACCGTGCGAATACGACCTTTGGAGCTTAAGCCAATCAGCTAGTGACTAGTAGGCATAATAATTATCATTGTCTGTATAAATATATGTACCCTGGACCAATAAACACACACGTTGATTGAAAAAAAAAACCAAAACAAAACAAAAAAAAAAAAAAAAAAAAAAAAAACAAACAAAACAAAACCCCACCAGCAACGACCGAGGAATTTGAGAATGGACCCGGAGAAACACCAAATGCAGCAGCGCCCGGGGTCCACGAGCTGAGACGGAGAGGCAGCAGCCCTGGCAGCCCCGGGGGAGTACGCGGAGAGAAGCCGGCTGGACCGGCCCCGAGAAACGGAGGCGGAGCGGCCCCGAGAGTGGAGGTGACCAGCCCCGCAGAGCAGAGGCAGACCGGCCCCGCAGAACAGAGGTGACCGGCCCCGGAGAGCAGAGGCGGAGCGGTCCCGAGACCAGAAGTGAGTGGCCCCACGAACGGAAGCAGAAAGACACCGGAGCTGACGTGGTAAGGAGCTGACTGCGGCAGCCCCGGGGGTGGACGCGAAGGGACGCCACAGGTGGACACTGAGCGGCCCCGGGGGCGGACGCGCGGGGGCGCTGGAGGCAAGCGCAGGGTGGCCCCGGAAGTGGAAGAGGGGGGGCGCCGGAACTGACACAGAGGGGCGACGGAAGCTGACGCAGAAAGGTGCTGCATACAGCGGCAGCAGAAACAAACGCTGGGAAATATCAGAGACAGCAGAGCCTAGCCGAATCAAGAACGATCGCACAGTGGGCCTCCGACAGGTCGTTCCGAGGACCTGAACCGAGATAGAGGGTCGCTCTCTGCAAGGGCTGCTGGCAAGAGCTGCACCTGGTGCCTTAGTCACGGAGCATCAGCAACATATCAAAGGGGAGTATTTTTAGTGCCTTAAACAGGGAGCACAAGCCGGCGGGAGTATTTTTAGTGCCTTAAACAGGGAGCACAAGCCGGCGGGAGTATTTTTAGTGCCTTAAACAGGGAGCACAGGCCGACAGGAGTATTTTTTAGTGCCTTAAACAGGGAGCACAAGCTGGCGGGAGTATTTTTAGTGCCTTAAAGAGGGAGCACAGGCCGGCGGGAGTATTTTTTAGTGCCTTAAACAGGGAGCACAAGCCGGCGGGAGTATTTTTTTTTTTTTGCCTTAAGCAGGGAGCAAAGGGCCGACGGTGCCTTAATCAGGGGTGGGTCGGCAGTAACGGTACTGTGCCTTATCCAGGGAGCACAGGACCAGAGGTGCCTTAAACAAGGAGCACCAGGTTGACAAGATGGAACAGGAGGTAGCCCTGGATTTATTACAGCGCTTTTTAGAAAAGCGGGGAGTGGATTGTATAAAATCACTCGCAGGTTTAGTAGCATTAGGACGGGTCAAAGGATGTTTTCAGGACCCTAATTCTCTTTTTGATGTCGACGAGTGGAGACGATTAGGTGATGTTTTGTAGGATATGGTAATAGACGAGGATAAAGCTGCAAGGAAAATGATGAAACCATGGCGGGAGGTGGTGAATAATAGTGGGCGGTGTCAGCTTGAAAAGAACCTTGCAGCTGTGGCAACTGCAAACTTGGGGGGGGAAAGTTCCACTGTTACCCCAGATAGTGAGGCATCCGGATCTATGCTTTTTGACAGTGATCGTATTCCTGTACCATCAACAGGAGGGCCAGTTACAGTTAATGTGAATAGGGAAAGTCCGGAGGCCAGCCCCCCCCCAGTATCTTTACAGTCATGCCCCCCTTCACCCCCCCCTACCTCAGAGGCAGAGGGTCAGAGGGATGATGGCCCCTCGCTAATATGTAGCCAACAGGAGTGGTGCGAAGTAGGTGATTTATTGTGGGACGAGACTATCACTGGAGGCAATAAAGGCAGTGAAGCACGACAGCAAGGTGTGGTCTGGCGAACGATCGTAAAAGCCCTGAGGGAGATGCCAGCAGAAAAGAAAGTAGCTGCTGCTGCTATGGCGGCTGTCGGCGCTGTACCATCTCCGCCGGTCCCTGCCGAAACCAACCGTCCCTCACAATTAGCCACCTTCTTCGGGTGTAATCAACAGCTCTGCTCTATTAAGGACATGTCACCAAGTGTTCCTGTTTGCTCCACTGCGCAAGAAGCGGCAGAGAAATCAGGCGGCGCGGGGGTACCGGGTGGAGCGGCGTGCCACCATAAACTCTGCCTGCCCCCCCGCCCTGCGGATTGTTCCGCCCCTGACAGCGCGTCAGCATCTGGCTCAGAGAGAAAAGCGGCGGCTCTGTCTGAATTAAAGTAACAGGGTCACACATCGGTAATGGACAGTGACAAAGTCCAAGAACTTGAAAGAAAATTACAGAAGTTAAGCTACAGGACAGAACTCTGCATTTACAATTACAAGAAAAGGAAGCGCTGCCGGCAGCCCCCACCACACCCACTCCCGTCACCCTTACCAGAACCTGCTCCACTTTTAGCTCAGTCCTGATGGAGTGGGGTGATTCGTGATGCCTTGTTAAAAGTGGACTGGCATGCTGCTGGAGCGTTGGCCTGCCCGGTAGTGAGAACAAATGGGGGGCACCTGGGAACTCAAGATCACAAGATTCTCCTCGGGGGGTCTGGACACTCCTTACGAACTTTAAAACTCTGAACTCTCATTGTGTGTTTCAACATCAACACTGGTATCAAAAACTTGTTCATGTAGTATCAGGTTCATTGTATGGTGTTTCAACATCGACACTGGTATCAAAAACTTGTTCATGTAGTATCAGATTCATTGTATGTTGTGGGTTCATTGCAATGTTTAGAACATAGCATGGTGAAACCTGTATTACATTCTGTATTGCATACTCTGTTGTTACAATTGCTGACACTTTTAAAACTGTAAGGATGGTTTTCTTGCTACATAAGACTGCATAAGATTGGAACATGGACTGACAGACTGGTTACGAGACTTGGGAATTTGGATAATGGACTGATGATGGTTGCAAATCTACAAAACTTGGAAATTACTGGGTGGCTGAAAGCTTTGTTGATGCATAGACTGGCAATGCTGATTGTCATTATGATTGTCATGATGGTATTGGGGTCTGTGTGGAAATGCTTTATGAATGCTATGATTCAAACGTCAAAAGGAGTCTGGATTGTCCAAAAAAGAAAAAGGGGGAAAACCTGGTAGGAATTTTTTTGGGGGGGGGATCAGGGTTATGCACTGATCCTACAGGGTTTGGACAATCCAGGCTGGGTCTCTGAGCAGAAAACTGCCACGTGGTAAGCCTGCCCTTGAGGTCACCTGGAAGGGCAAGAAGGAGGAAGTCAATCTAGTGCTTCCTCCCTGTTTGAATGCCTGGATGCACTAACCACAAAGTAGATTTAGTTTGTTCACGCGTACTAACGATGCAGACCTATCACAGCACTTCCAGGTGCGTGATAAGTGCCTTTAGCCAACACATTGTAAGCTTGCATGCTTAAGTTGTGCCTTCTCATGTATTAAGGAAATCTTTGAACGAACGTAAGGGCAGGTTCTGCCCCTACAAAAAGAAAAAGGGGGAATTGTTGGAGAATGGTTCAGAGACAAGGGTCCTGTGCCTTTAGCCAGTAGATTGTAAGCTTGCATGCCTAAGTTGTGCCTTGTCATGTATTAAGAAAATCTTTGAACGAACGTTGGCGCAGGCTCTGCTCATACAAAAAGAAAAAGGGGGAATTGTTGGAGAATGGCTCAGAGACAAGGGTCCTGAGCCCACCGAGCAATTGTATGATCAGAGCCTGCTCTAGCTGCTGATGCTGAGCCTCACTAGGGTTTGCCTGCAGCTGCTCACAGCTGCTGATACAGGAGGAATGTCAAGGACGCTTCAGCCCTGTGTACCGCGGTGTGTCGAAAACAGGTTAAGGGGAATTAGGAATAGTGGTCTGAGAAACCCAGTGTTATGATAACGGTGGTCTGAGAAACACTGTGTTATGGTACTGTTGTGTATTGAAAACAAGTGAACAGGAATCAGAAATAGTAGCATGAGAAACTTAGTGTTGTGAGAGGCTTGTGCTGTAAGCTAACTGCAGGTGGGTGGACCGTGCAAATACGACCTTTGGAGCTTAAGCCAATCAGCTAGTGACTAGTAGGCATAATAATTATCATTGTCTGTATAAATATATGTACCCTGGACCAATAAACACACACGTTGATTGATGCTCTACCACCCACACTGAACCCGTCTCGGCATGTCGTTCGTCCGCGGCTCCGCAAGAAAGTGTCAGGAAGACAGAGTTGAGACTCTTCTCAGAGACTGACAGTGGAAAGACAAGAGGCAACAGACACAATATGGAGTAGGAGTCTGAGCTCTGGAAAAGAGCCCCAAAGAGGTTGTGAGATCTCTATCATTAAAGGTGTCCAAAGCTGAACGGGACATGGTTCCCAGCAATCTGCTATAAGTGCACCTGCTTTAAGAAAGAGGTTAGATTTAGATAACTTCTGAAGATCCTTACCAACCTACAGGTTTATAGGATTCTGTGACTATGTAAAAGCAGTAAGCTAGTAGCTCTCACACAGTAAAACTGACTGTTAGAATCTCTTGTTTCATGTATATAGAAATGATTTCTTAATACATGTATTATGTTGTCTTGGATGTGTATCAGAATGTTCTGGATGACTACATGCTATAATCTCTGGAACGGCTGTATGCTAAATACTGTTGTCAATTTTCTGTGAATAAAATACAGTATTGCATTTCTGACCTGGAAACGCTGGACGCTAAAAATCTCAGGCTTTCTTTTGCAGTTGTTTGTTTTTTTTTCTGAAAAACAAAATGTTTTCTCTTTCCTAGATTGGTAAATCAGAGACTTATAGAAGTTCAGTCCCAGGTTGAAGAACTACAAAAATCTTTGCAGGATCAAGGTTCAAAAGCTGAAGATGTAAGTAGAAATGTACATCAAACTTACATTCACATAGTTACCATTTTTGAAACTCTCATGTTTTTGTAAAAAACAAAAAAAAAAAGTAAAATAAATATGCAAATGGAGATTTCTGATAGTTCTCATATTTACTCATATGGTGTTATGACTAAACTGTGCTTCTCTAAATAGGATGTAAGATGTTCTAAGACATTTGCCTAGAAAAGAAAACCATCCTATGTAGAGAAAGTGACAAATGTGTTTGATTGTGTCTATTTCAGTAGTAGACTTAGCATTTAAATTATTTAATTACAATAGAGAGTTTTGCAGGGAATTAAGGAAATGTTAATTCTCAATGTCTTAATAAAGTACCTGAAGTTATTTTTGGTTTAGTTTTCTTAATGAAAGTTAAAGCCTTTCCTGACAGTGGAAGCTCTGTAATTGTGTATGTAAATGTATCTTGTAATGCAAGAAGCCAGGTAAGCCAAAACAAAACAAAAAAAAAAAGTCAATTAAGTCCTCAACATAATGCAGCATTTTTTCTTTCTGTATATGGATTCAACTTTATTTTTAATGTAAAAGTATACATTGTGGCAGAGTTAGTGTGGAAAACAACTTTCAGTCTTCCACTCAAAAACTGTGTTTGCCCTCTCCTGTATTTGGGAGAACAAGCTCTAGAACTTTATTGAAAGCAGTGACTTGCTGGACTGTACCTATATAGTGTATGCTCACAATTTCAGTGTATTGTGTTGCTAATCGGAAACAAGTTGTAACGTGTTGCTTTCCATTTTTGTGGTTTTGTTTTAACTGATTTATATAAAACAGTGAAAGTTCTTATGAGCGGCTTATTTTCATTTAAGAGTGTGTTTAATTTAGCTTATCCTTTTAATTTTCAGAATAAACTATATGAAAGTAAAATACCTAGTGGAGTTAAAATAAGATTATTTTCCTAGGTAACTTAGAATGCGTTTTAGAAGGCATTTTAAAATAGGTCCATACTATTATGTGATTCTGAGATACTCTTTGTTGTCTTGGTTATTGGGCAAAATCAGATTTTTCAGGGTGAACAAGAATATGAAAAAATTATTCTCAGATATTGAGTATCGTAAATGATACCTGTCTAATTGAATTCAGCTTTATTTACTGCAGTTGTAGTTGTGTCCCTTTTTTGAGGCTCTGGTTTGGACAGTAATTTAGGATATGCCTGCAGCTCACAGGACTGCTTGCAGCCTATGTAGATATCACCTGGGATGATTCTGTTAACAGCAAAACACCACCATCACAACACCATGGTACAGCTGTACCAGGAAGCCCTTGTCAAATTATAGCTGGCAAGTTCATGATGCAGTTGCTGCATTCATGGCTTCTGCGTAGGTCTGACCATGCCCATGGTGATTTATAGACACTAATCCCATGGGCTGTTTTAGGTGTTTGGTATGTAGGACTTAATTTACTCTTAAAGAAGCCAAAGAGAGAATGTAGATTCAGAGCAGTATTGAGACTACAAGAACCTCTGAAAGTGTGGACACCTCATCAGTCTCCCACGCAAAGCAGAGCAAACCTCAAAGTTAAACCCAGATGCTCAAGTAGATGGAAGTTGTGCTGTGACCACCTGAGTTATCCTTAAGATATCCTTTAAAAAAGAACAATTCTTCAGAATCATGAGAAAAAAGATAAGACATGGCATACAGTTCATTGATGCATCATTTTCAGAATGTTTCTTCAGTTTTTCACTACTTTTCTACAACAATGCACTGAAATCTGTATTTTTTTATACTTATACTGTAAATATGCTCAACCCTGAAAACTGAAGATCCCATTTGTATTCAGCCCAGAAACGTGTGATGAGGGCTTTTTTATTTTGTTTTGTTTGTTTGTTTTTTCAGTTTTGTTTATTTTCAAAGTTGAAGTAATTTTTAGGCTTGCCCAAAAAGTAGTAAAAGTGATACTCTAACCCAGGCAAGTACATTGCACTGATACATGCTGCTTGCTGAGGTCCACATGAGGAAACAGTTTTGATTTTGTATTGAAGTGTAGTGGAAGGTGAATGTTAGGAATATATCAGTGCCGTTAGGCCTGAAATGGGCACTGATGCATCCTCTTGGGATGTTTGATTAGTCCATCCTGGCTGTTCCATTGTTAGCCAGAGACCTCCTTATCCCAGGCTTCCAGACTACCAATTCAATTTAGACATGCCTCTTGTGGTCAGAATAGCAGGTTTGATTTTTTGTCCTCCAGAATGCAGTGGTCATGTATAGGGCTGCTCAACAGATACGCTGAACAGCTTCGACTACATCATTTGCCTACCTTATTATCACTCTGTCTTGTCATCCTTGTTTTCCCTTTCTATGCCCTAATCTCTTTCTTTATAAACAAGCTGCCTTTGGTTATTTCTACCCCGCCAAACCTAGTCTTGCTAAATCCATACCACATCAGTTGTTTCTGACACTGTTACGTACTCAATCTTGGCCTTATATGCTGTTACTGATACAGTTACTAAGTCCTCCTGGTTTGACACCTCCATAAAAGTTCCCCAAGACTCTGTTACCTGTTTGGTTACCTGTGAAGTTCAGCCACTTTGCTTATTTGGTGAAACACTGGAACAGGTTTCCCAGAGAGCTGGTAGATGCCCCATACCTGGAAACATTCAAGGCCAGGTTGCACGGGGATCTGAGCAACGTGATCTAGTTGAAGATGCTACTGCTCATTGCAAGGGGGTTGGCCTAGATGACCTTTAAAGGTCACTTCCAACCCAAACTGTTCTATTATTCTGAAATCTGACCATCCCTCATGGTGCTGTATATAACTTTTGCCACCTTCTCATAGCATTACCAGTCTCATCACGCAATTTTCTCAAGTCATGTACCAGTTTCTCTCACCCTGCTAAATTAGCTTAACCTTAAGACAGAGCCTAGCCATCTGCCTGTGGCCTTAGCATGCAGAACAAAACCAAACTTTGCCCTTAAAAAGGAGACAGACCTTTGGCTTGTTTAATTATGAAAGAAATTTCCAGCAGAAAGATTTTATTTCTGTAGTTTTTTTGATGTAAATGAAAGAGCAGTTAAATACTGGGGAAGATACCTGTTTTCTAAAACCACACCATAGTATTTTTTTCTGGTGTTTTCCAAGTGGAACTTGTTAGTAATGGGAGGAAAAGCAAAACAGCGAGTGTGCATTTGCTGATTTTCACAGTTTTGTTATAGAAATGTTCTTCTATTATGAACAGATAAAATATTTGAATTAAGTTAAATGTAAAACTAGCTCAAAATTAGATAAAATTTGCTTGTTTTTTTTTTTAATTGGGAATTTTTTTTAAGAGACTAGTCTTCCTATGGGAGAACAACAATTACAGTAATTCCTTGTTAGGAGCAGCAGATTTAGATACGTGTTTTTGAAGCTGCCTGAGACCTCAAAAAAAAAAGTAATGTTTGCCTGGTGTTAGAGTAATTTATTTTAATTTATCTGCCTTGCTATGAGTGTATACAGGATCTGAGGGTGGCTAAAATCACATATTTTACCTTTTATTATTTCTCCTGATCTCATGTCTTGGGTAAATTGCTCTGGGTAAACTCAGTCCTGCTTCTTTTAATTGTGTGTGCTGTTTATTGTTGTTAGTTTCTTGCTTGTGAGAACATACAATCTGTCTAGATGGGAGAGGGGTTATTCCCACAATAGTGCTGGTACTATGCAGATAATATATATGAAAATATACCAGTGGAATCAGTGTTGACAAGTAGTTGTGTCTGTTCCAAGCTAAGCCCAAGTGCAATACAAGGATTACAAAAGAAAAGCTGAGTTCAATTTAGTTCAATTTTTATTTACTTACCTTAGGGAAATGAGCATTGCTTCTAACTTTCCCCTTTCTTGTCCAAACCAATCAATAGTTCCCTAAATGATCACATAAGTGATGGTGCTAGTTCAAATGCTTTGTGACCAAGAATGATACACATAAACATTTATTGTTACAGAAAAAGCAGTGTTGCTGCAGATGTTCAGAAGACTGGAAAAGTAAAAAGCCAGTTAGTCAAACCCTGCAGATCAAATTTCTGACTCGGAAGTCAGTAGGGTAATACTGGCTTGTTTTCATGTGCTCACCCCCCCCTTTCTTACAGTGCGATAAGGAAATCTAACTTTGAAAAAATGAAAAAGCATGACCCAGGAATATCATCAAAGACAATATTTTCAAGTACACTACAACAAAGTTATAAGATTTTTTGGGTGTACACGGTAATTGTCTCTGTTATCCAAGTATCTAAACCTTTGTTGAAAAACTATTCGAGAAAAAGTAATGAAGTAACTGTTGATTACTTTATCCTGTATTTTAATGGTGTTCTGGACCATCAGTCACATGATAGACTTCCAGTGTGATTGGTACTGGATAAACACAAACCAAAAAGGCAGTTCCGGATTTAAATATTCTACATTTGTCTTGTATTCAATCAGTGTGGCAATAACACAATCCAGAATCGCTCCACAAAAACACATGCATTTTATTTTGGTTATAGCCCAATAGACTGCATATTTTCTCCTGTTTTGTTACCTGTATGATTTTTGTTTTAAAATGACTTTCCAAAATAGCAGTTGCTCTCCTTTGCAATTCTGGTTTAAATACAATGATAGACAAATGTGGTTCTTTACTATTTTTATATTTTTGTTTTTAGTGATATGCTTTAGAAAATGTTACAGGATGAAACTGCTGATGAGAATAGAGGAGAGAAACATGCATGCGTGAAAAAGTGCATAGCTTTAAGTTTTTCTGTTCATGACTTTCTAAATAGTTTCTTCTGTTGGCTGCTGTTTTGCTTTATACTAATGTCATCTCTGTCTCTTGGCATGGGCTTCTGCTCAAGGCTATTGTGAGTATCGCTTTCTATTTACTTAACACTACTTTCAGTTTATAGACATTTATTGGGTTGATTTTTTTGAAAGATACTCACTGTGTATGAAGTGAGTTTAAAATTAAAATAAAAAATTTACCTTGAAGCTTTTATTCAAAGAGCTTATCTAAATGTTATTTAACCAGAAAGTGGAACACTGTAAGTTGTGTGATCATTTTTATGTGTAATCAGTAAAGTTGAGAAACAGAAAAAGGGTAGAATTTCTGCTATACTCCAGTCAGAAGCACTCTGCTCCCTCTAGTTTCTACAGGGACAGGAATTTACTTCAACTGATTTGCTACATGTCTTCATGCAAATGGCATTGCAATATTGGTAGGACAGTTCTTATCGTAAATTTTACTGCACTTTCCAATTTCAGGTTAATTTATTAAGTCTAATTACAAAAGTGCTGAAGAAATTAAATCAACTGCCATAGAATTTTGTCATTTATGGATCTTGCTTTTGTTGATCTAGTTCCTGGGAAAATACTTGTAAAATTATAAAGCGCTCTAATTTCAGGAAAGTCATACAGCTGTGGATAGAAGGATTGCTACCACAAAGGATGGCTTTACAGTTGTGACCTAAAACTGAATGAAGTAAAAAGTTGGATTTTAGTTAGAATGTCAAAATTATATATTTTTAAATAATTTTGAAATTATGTTAAAGCTCCGCAATATATTAAAACATTTAACTTTCTATTTTAGTCAATTCTTCTGAAAAAGAAACTTGAAGAACATCTGTAAGTATTTTGTTTGCCTATTTTGTTTGCCATTTGAAATAATGTGTTTTCCCTATGGTAAGGAAGGCAGTCAGTCATTAATCATTCATCTAGAAAATATACAATTAAGAGAAGTTAGATAACAAAGGAATGTTTGGGAATCTGCTATTCAGATACTATATTCATCTCATAGAAAACCTTTGTGAAAACAGTAAGAGCAGTGAAGGAACCATCATTTTGTGGTTATTAGAAAACTTTGCTTAATGTGTAAATCTATTTGAGGAATAAGTAATTTCGTTCTGAGGAACACATGTTAATGTAAACAAAATAAATTTGTTTACTTTTTAGTATACATTATGGCAAAAAGGTAACATTTTAGGAAGAGTTACCATTTTGTTCTACTATTTCTGCACCTCTTTTACTTCCCTAAAATGCAAAGAGTTGTTTGCTTTTTGATTGGCTTGCAAAAATAAAGTAGTTTCTGTTGCCTTTGGGTTTAGACATACTTTCTCAATGTAATGTGAATTATGAGTATTTTACAATTAACTGTAAGTTCTAAATTAAGTTTATAATTACTGAGAATGAAACTGGCTGTTACAGTTCTCCATATACCATAATGTTTTTCAGTTTATTTAACGAATATTTCTACAGTGATGCTGCAATTTGTCCTCATGCCCCACAGCAAAAATCAGTCATGCTCTCAGAGATGTTTCACTATCTGAGGGTTTTTTGCATTGCTTAATGTTCATTCAAGTACAGTAATAGTACTGGGAAAACAATGTGTGCTTTTATGGTTTGTAACAGTGAGAAGCTTCATGAAGCTAACAATGAGCTACAGAAGAAACGAGCTATTATTGAGGATTTGGAACCAAAATGCAATAACAGTTGTGAGTTACCTGTGCAGTCCATTTCTTTTCTTTGTAAAGTATTTCATGTGCAAAGTCTTTAATTATAATACCTATAGCAGGTGCAAGATAAACAAAATGTACATTTTAGATGACAGTGATATCTATGTTGTAAGTCTCTCTGGAAACTATGGTGACCAAAAAGATGCTTCTAGCACTTGAAGTGCAGAGAATCACATTTTAGAGACCACTATAGTCAGAAATTACAATGGTCGTAGAAATACCGAGTCAGTGTCATACCTGCCATTGAAGCCCAGCTGTAAAGAATTGTCATGTCTCCTAAGACCCTAATTTAGGGGATCATTGCTGCCATCACCAGCTCATTTTTACTCCCAGTATGTGTGTTTTCAGAACTGTGTTGTAATTTGAGAAAATTTTCAGACTCTGGTCAAAGAGAAAGTAGGATGTACGTCATATTGCTCACATGTTATCCTGAACCCAGCATCCAGCTGTTCTTTAGCACATCAATACTACATTTTTCCCAAGAAGTATTGAAGGAGGTAGATTGGTTTTTTTCAAGCCCACTTAATATAGAACAAAGCAAAACATTGCAACCAATGGCAGCTTTTCTGGTTTGTGCCAATTACCTAACATTGTTTGAGAATTGGACATCATGTTATATGCTGTTTGGTCCAGGATGATGCAATTAATGGGGGGATTTTTATCTGAGATGATGTATAGAACATGTATAAGCAATAGTGGCTTGATGTATTCTTATATCAACACAGAAAAAGGCTGTGCAATAAATTGTCTTACTCGTTTGCATTGCTGCCTAAGAAAATGTCGGGGAAAATGTAAATTGAGTGTATTCATGTCATGAAACTGATAAATTGTGTTCAGCATTATAGTTTAGCAGTTTTAAGCAAGAGTTGTGCCTATTAAGAATTATTTCTCTCACATAAAATAAGAAAACTCATATTTATCTAAGTTACAATACCAAGATATTAAGGAATCTGTAATTCATTAGTAAACTAATTTTTTAAGTGTGTTCAGTGATGGGATTGATTTATGATTCCATATCTCTTTATTTTTTCATAATTTAAAAAAAAAGGTGAAATTTGTGTACCAAACATCCATCTCATGAGATTATATAGGAGTACACATTTTTAATGTGTTTGAGTTGTTCAGTAATTGAAGCTATAGTATCTGCTACATCAGATTCCTTATGTTAGCTTTTCTTAACTGAAATAAATTCTAACTGTGCCTTAAATGTCTGTTGAAAAACATGAAAATAAACATAATTATTTTATTTTCCAATGTGTGCATCTCCTGACATAAAGCACTCAAAATTGAAGAATTACAAGAAGCTTTAAGGAAAAAGGAGGAAGAAATGAAGCAAATGGAAGAGCGATACAAAAAGTATTTGGAAAAGGCCAAAAGTGTAAGTATATATGTTCCATGTTAATGATCCCCCTCTGAGAGACTGCACCACATCTCCACTCTGCAGGAATAAAAATAAATGTGGTAACTGTATACACACTAGCAAGGAAGAGAGAAGGAAGGCCAGTGAGTTCTTTATATCTTCTTACTGTTATGGTAGCAATTATTGATTAATTCTGCAGAAGACTCTACCTTGGTTTTATGTTCATGACTGTCCCCTTTTGCTACCTACCAATAAGCCCTTCTGATGTTTATCCACTGCTACAGATTTTGGAGTCACCCAGACAAACCTTGTTAAGCATGCTTTCATGTCAGCTGATGACAAGGAGAGGGTGTTAAACCCGTTCTAATGTTGTGATAACCTATTTCTTTGTGGAAATTCTTCTGGACATCTGTCTCTGAGTGACAAACATATAGAACAGCTAAAGCAGTGTCTATACTAGGACTGGTGGTGTAGAAATAGCTGAAATAGCTGTAATGTATTTCAGAACTGAAGAACCACCCGTCTAAACCAATTCAAGGGAAGGAAGCTCTGTGAGCAAAAGTACTCCTTAATTGGCATTTGTACTGCGACTTTTTGGGACTTCTGTCACAGTTGTCATGAAGAGCTCAACTTCTTTGTGCACAAAAATATAACTTAGTTACACCAGGTACAGGCACAGCTGGACCAACAAACTCTGGTTTTATCAGTTTGGCAGAGAGGGAAAAGGAAGTTTGGGGTTCTTTCCTTCCCAGGTGGCTGGATCTGTTTATGTGTTTCTGGATGGTGTAGGCTTCTTGTGGTACTTGGTCAGCAATGTCTGTCTTATCTGGAGCAGATAATTTTATATACTTTTTTATAAAAGTAACTTTTACCTACTTCAGATTTCATCAGGTCCTAATTGCTCACATAAACTGCTTATTCTTTTTGAGAGGCTCAGAGTTTACAGGCAGAGGTAATTACATGTGCCAAAGAAACCTCTACCAATTTAAGTTTGATTTTGCTTTCTTTGTTCATCTTTTGCTCCTGATTTCTATTAATGTTCTGGTTTAGCTAACTGATTTAGAAACTGATTTAATATGAATGGCTTACTGATGCTTTCTCTAAGTAAAGTGATCTTTTTAACTGAATGGCCTTCAAGAGCTGTTATGTTTCTCTGATGACATTCAGCATTCTCTTTACCTTTACTGTTTAAAATAGGCTTCTGTTGAGAAGGTGGCTAATACTTAAGTATGATATTGTGGATATGGCTATACTACCAGCTTTGAAATGGCAATATTGTAGTCTCAATCATAGTCCTATTTCTTCTCTTACTATACCTTGTTATTTTATTTGAGTTTTTTAAAAGCGTAACAGTGTCTTCATTCATCTGGTTTGGTAGTATCAAGATCTTTGCTATGGCTGTGTATCATCAAATTAGAATCTGTAAGTAGGTTCCTAATTTGGCAAAACTTCATGCTTCCTTCCTTCACCTCTGTGTAGTCTCCTCAGTGACTTCTTGTGAGACGTTTCAGAAGTCTTCAGGAAATTTGAACAAATGAATCTTTTCTTTTTTTTTTTTTTTTTTTTTTTTTTTTCCACATCTTCTGTTGCTGATTGTGTCTCAGAGTATTCCAATGAAAGACAGACTCAGAATTTCCCTTTTCATTAAGATTTATTTGTATGTACTGTGTTACTGTACCGTGTTTTATACAACAGTAGCATTAATTATTTTAGTTGCGTTAGCTTTTTCTGATCTTATCAACTTTCAGTATTTTTTTTTTCTTGTGAAGATGAGTACAATCATTACAGCCTTCCTATATATAAACTATATCCAGGTCTAATGTGTATTTTCTTAGAAACATAGTACACTTTTATGAATCTTCCTTCATGAGTACCATTCAATTAAAATTACTTAAATGTAAAGCAGTGTTTTATTTCAACATGTGGACACGATTCTGAAATGGGAAGAAAAAATCAAAAGATGTGAAGTCTCTTTTTATATATCCAGAGGTTGTTAAAAGGTTTTAAAGTATTTTCTATTAAAGGCTGAGGAATCTAGGCATTTTGCTGGATGTGTTCTTGGTTTAGGTCTGTGTTTGGTAGCAGTCATGCTACCAATGATGGATGCCACATATGAACATTACCAGTTGTCCCTTCAGCTAGCTTATTAGTAACATGACGATCAAGCATGTGCCACCGAATGCTTCTTGGCTTAACAGAGCTATCTAGAAATGACACCACATGGTACCCTGGGTAGGTGAATCATGATGTCTTTCCATAAGGACCAAAGTGGTTCTTCCTCAAGCAGGAGGAGTTGACAAGCAGGTAAACCTTAGCTATAAAGAGAGAAACCTTTGAGAAATTGTTTCGACCATTGTGGCCTCAAGGTAGTGCAGCTAGGGGTAGGAACTGCATATGTGAGTTTGGGTTACTGAACCTCCAGGTGTCGCTTTCTCCTATCTGTAGTTTTGTTTCACAGTCCTGTAGAAGAGAGCCCAATTCAGATGCTCTAATGTATCATGGATGATGTTCAGAGGCAGAGCCTCTGTCATGGTTGTTGTCAAGATTGTTTTACAGGAGTCAGCCTCTTAAAACTGAACATCCCTCTGTTTCACATTTTGGAGTGTTACCACAGAAGTTTTAAGTCACTTTTTTATTTCTTAGCCTGACTTAAAAGGTTTCAATTCCTTGATGTCTTTCTCTTCAGTTAGATTGCTTTGGCTGGATTTGATTGAAAACTAACTGGTTTTCTCTTACAGGTCATCCGTACCTTAGATCCTAAGCAGAACCAGGGTGCAGCTCCTGAGATTCAGGCTCTGAAAAATCAGTTGCAGGAGCGGGACAGAATGTTTCATTCATTGGAGGTAGTAATCATGCTTGTTTCCTGGTAAATGGGTACTTACTTAATGGTTTTTAGGTATAGATTAATACTTTTATTATGCTTTGGTTTTAAATGTATGCTTTTTCATGTTTGTTTTATAGAAAGAATATGAAAAAACAAAAAGTCAAAGAGAAATGGAGGAGAAATTCATTGTTAGTGCCTGGTACAACATGGTAAGAATCTCCCAAACTTTTTATTAAAAAAAAAAAAAAAAAAAGGGAAGTAAACTATTAATATTAGTTGGTTTTGGGTAACCAAAACAGTATTTATTCATGTACAGGCTTTTTGTTTGAAAAGCATTTTCCAGCACAAAGACACAGAAACAAATGCTTTTAAATAATTTTAGCTATCGCTATATAAGAGTACGTTCCTATGGTAACCTTGGGGTAAATGAAAAAGAACATGGTTGTTATTTTCAAGTTTTAAAGTTTTAAAACCAGAAGTGGCATTTTCTAGAGAGAAGGATACCTCAGATTACTATTTTGTAATCCCAGCCTTTCAGTTATACTGATTTACAATGGTCAAATTTACTTTCTTCTTTGATTCTCTACTCTCCAGTCTTCCAGTCATTTCTAATGAAGGGGCACAAGAAAAGCAATACAGCTTACTTGCTTCAGTAAGTGCTCTGAGAAATGACCCCTTTAACTTGGGTGCAAGTTCACCCCCATGCACTGGGTGAGCACAGGGGCAAGACCCTCACTTAAATAATTCAAACTATAATGACATGATCTGTGCAGCCATACAGCTTTTGCTGGGCCTGTATGCCAGGAGATTTTTCATGTTTGTCAAATGTGTTCAAGACTTCTCTTTGGCAGAGTGTGGCTGCACTGAAACTGCTCTTCAGACAGAAAGAATCCCTTACGTGTGTAATATTCTTGTTTCATTCTGCTTCATCATAGAATTCAAATTCCTCTTCTTTATATTCCCTTGGAAAAGTTTCTTTCTTGCTGTTCTATGTTCTTGTTATGTCCACAAATGGTACTTAAGCAGAGTGTTTGAATCCTTTAAATGTTGAAGGCATTTTCAAGTTGCTGGTGTCCTTGATCAGTTTTGTAGCCACTGACAAGCAGAAGACAAGCCTGAGCTAAAAACTGTGGTTCAGTAGCCTGTCATGAACACTAAGATGAGCACTGATAGCTTTGTCTGTGTCTTTCTCTAGTTTACCTCTGCTTTTATACACAGCTACACAACTCATCACAGCTTCCGTTATTTCCTCCTTCCATTTACTCCTGCTGCAAACATACTTTCTCTCAAGATCTGCTCCTGCCATATGAGCTGGTATTTTCACAGAGAATGACAATACTTTATTTTCAGAAGAAAAGTACTATTCTAGCTCAGCATGCTGAAGGGGACCAGGGTGGGAGCAGAAGCACTTTTGAAAAGACTTGTCCAGTTACCGTGTGTTTACGTGGAGAAGCAGCTGTTCAGATCTGCGACACTGGGGGATCTGGTTCTCAACAGTTACTCCAAACCCAGACAGTGGCGGAGGGTGAGGTGGGGAAAGAAAAACACACTGAGAATTAGGAAGAATTTCTTAGCTTTATCCTTGAAAATATTATGCTTCATGTTTGAAATTCAAAATAGCTTAGTCAGTATTGATGAAGAAGGAGATAATAAAATGTAAATGAGTAAAGTTGTTCAGTGTTATGTGTTGGTATTCACTGAGAAGTTTCTCTTTGTCTATAGGGAATGACTCTGCATAAAAAAGCTGCAGAAGATAGACTGGCTAGTACAGGCTCAGGACAGTCCTTCCTGGCTAGACAAAGGCAAGCCACGAGCACAAGGAGATCTTACCCTGGTCATGTCCAGCCAGCAACAGCAAGGTAGAGAAGCCTTGCCCTTAGAAAGAAAACCTGTGATCCAGGCCACTTCTGTTGCAAGTGACAACATTCAAGGAAAATCAACCAGCATCCTTTCTCTTTCTCCCTTATTACTACTATTATTTTACAGTTCAGAAAATGGTTTTATTATGGTTTCTCATTGTTCTGTAATGCCCTTTGCTTATATTTACTGGAGTCCATCTCTCTCTCTGCATTTTTTGAATGTGCCAAAGTTTTGAAAACATCTAGAGGAGTGCTGTATAATAACAGAGTCTTATTTGTATGAAGCCTGGTCTCTTATGAAAAGCCTCATATGGGCTCTGTATCAATGTACATTTCCTGTCACAGTTGATACGTTTGTGCCTATGAGGGTTGTTACACTTTGTAAGTCTTGTTCAAAGGGAATTTCACTTTTTATTTCATGTGATAACCTGTTGCTTCAAAGAAAGTGCTGAAAACTCATTACAAAAATGCAAAATTAGTACATAATATTATTGTGAACCATATTTGCTACTAGAAAACTTACCAATGGCAGAAAGGATTTTTTTTTGTAAGTCTCTTACATGCAAAGTTTGCTCTTATTCTTGGTATTTAATAGGGAAGCAGGATTATTTTTTTTCAGGTTTTTCTTTATCTACTGGTGTTACCTCTTTGCTGCCAGAGTTGAATATTTTAAAATGGTTTGTTCCACTCTTCTTGGTCAAGTGTATGCTTAATATATATTATAAAAATACTGAGAAATATTTAGAATGCTCCAATATGCTACTGCATCATCCATTTAAAAGGACATTTGTTTTAATATTTTATAATTATGGATGAACAGTACTTAATGGATCAAGACCCAATTAATATTGTTGATGTTAATGTATTCCAGTCGTCATCCCCTACTAAAAGACTTGCTTTTAATATATTGATTCAGGGTATAATTGTATCAGTTGCCTTACTAATGGTATCAGTGCCTTCAGGTGAGTTTGTTGCTGACTTTGTTGGAAACTGGTTGTGTACTACCTTTTTAGTGTGTAGCTGGTTAATTGTACGTCACTCATTGTAGCACCTTCATGTTGATCAGTGAGGTGGGCAGTGTGACCTCTACTATTAATTTAGGTTCTGTTCCTAGAAAGGTCTGCTTTTTCCTTGCCTAATTCTGTGCTGTACCTACAACTTTTGCCAAAAAATTGACGGATATGGAGGACCTGAGTGTTAGTTGAAAGGTTCATATACACACATCTTGTGGTAATTAAGTTTTAAACATTTTTAACTTACAGATTATTTGGACCCTAATGCACATACAGTCTGGTTTATAAATTTATTCTTTTACATTATTTTAAAGCCTTCCAAAGTGAAGACATTTTCTTATAAATACCATTAGAGAGAAGACATACTAGCATTTATTAAACATCTGAAGGTCTATGTTAATCCACAGCTTGAATGGAATGAGCAAAGGATAATTACAAGTTTTAATCTAAGCTAAGAAATGCATTATATATCTGTCTGAAAAAATTTATCAGTTCTGATTCTTCCCTCCCCTCTTCCTCCAATAATATGAAAACAGATGCTGAAGTCTATTACCTGCATATAGGTTTGTCTTCTTACATTTGGAAAAAACTGATTTTCTAAAAATTCTCTTTACTTATTCAGTGTATGATCATGTCTGGGATATGCTTGCAAGATTAGATAAGGCAGTGAAAGTGTCTTGTGTGCAGAAAGGTAACAATGTAAAGGAAGTTCAGGACAATTTCTGTAGCTCAATGAGGTGATACTCATTTTGCTGTCTTACTGAGGTACAGAATACTAAAGGGGCAAACAGTCATATGTGTTATCTGGCAAGATGACCACAGTTTGTGTGGGATGTCTTTTGCTGATCTTGTGCAATCAATTCTAGTTATTTGAAGAACTCTTTACTGCACGCTATGTGTGAACATGAGAAAATAAGATCACTTCTCTGAGGAAATTTGTTGTTCTTATTTGAGATTACAGTGTTTTATATCACCCAGAGAAAGAACCTAAGAATACTTAAAGTTCCATTTCTATTCTAATGTGGCTGGCTCTGTCTGTTACCACACTGCCAAAGCCTGTTCATGAAAGCGAGGAGTACCAGGACCTTAATGGGAAGTTTTATCTCTTAATTTTGTCTAATAATTTAATTTCCTGTTGCTATTAATTAGGTGCAGGTCTAAAATAACTTGAACATAATCTGCATACTGGAATAAAATGACTTGCTTTTGTTGTTTTCATATTTGTGTTAACATTTTGCCTCCAAAGGTTTGATGATAGGTAAATGCCCCTCATGGTTAGGAGATGAACAAATGCTGATTAGAAGCCTCGTTTTTAGCATTTACTTCCCTATTTCTCATGGCTTCTTTTGCTTCTTGGCTTCTATTTTCTGCTTTGTGGTTCTGATCTGTCTTTCCTTTTCCCTTAAGATAAGACACTGAAGTGTTCTGTAGTTCCCTTTAAGAATATACAGCATTATTATATAGCATCAAACAGCAAAACAAGACTAATATTGAATCTGTACTTACTGTTGCTTATAGTAATGGTTAGGCGAGATTGAACGAGCATTTTGTCTTTGAAGAATTCACAAGCCTGTAGAAATTCTGGTATTTCCCAGAATTTGTGTTAAATATAAAAATCTAAAAATATACTGCAATCTTACAGTAATATACTCTGTTGCTATCCAGTTCCAGTAAGTCATTTGTTCTATCTTCTAATGGTAATCATTAGGAATTTAATTCCTTGTTCTTCAGCAGTTTACTTCCATTATTTGCTGTATATACCAATTCTTAATCTTTGGGTGTGAATGAATACAGGTGGTGAACATCATTAAACCTTCTCTCTCAAAAGAACAACTTCTTTATTGAAAGGGTTCAACTTCGTTATTTTCCTTGCTTGTTATGTAGCTTTGGAAGTAGTGTGGTATTGAGCAAAAGAAGGGGCTCAGAGTGTGACTTCAGGGAATAAGCACATGTATAGATGAGCTACCAATGAATGCTGTTTATTTGTCTTATCTTTAGTAATAAAATAACATAAGCAAACAGAATTCTCTTAGTACATTAGATACTTCTAAGAAGCTTTTAGGAACACTTTTTTTCTGGGGCAGCAAAGACTACATGAAAATTGTAGTGGTAATTATTAAACCAGTGCTATATCCTGTCCTGATACACTGCAAAAAACCCCTACATATTGAGGTTAAAGAGAGAAAGTTCTTCAGTGCAGTAATAAAGCAGCTGAAGAGTTTGTGAGAGTACAGTCCTGAGCACTGTGCTGAGGATCTGCCCAGAATAGTCTTTCTGAGAGATTTTAATTAACACCAATAAAAGATAACAGTTAAATGGATTAATATTTTCACTGTTTAGAGCTGAAGTTTAGTTTCTGAACTTAAAGGACGTGTGTGCGGTCCAGATCATATACTTCCCCGGAGAGTTAAGTTGTTAGCATATTTGATCAGACATTTACAGAAAATATTATTCTAATTCCTCATTTTCTTGACAGCAACACATAACCTACTTGGATCATAACTTGTATTTTCCAAGGGCTGTGAAAACTGAAGTAATCTAATTTAAAGGTTGTGTGTTCCACCTACAGTGCAAAGGAAAGTAAACAACTAGAGCACACAGCTTTATATATTGTAACATGAACTAAATATATAATGGCTACAAGATGTTTTTCATTATCTCTTTGGAAATAAAAAAAATGGTAATCTTAATCCTGTTCTGCTGTCACCTGAGATAGCAGTAATGCTTTTGCAAGTTTTCTGTGGCTTTCTTATTCATGCAAGCACTGGCAATTTTATATTCATTGTGTATGAAAGAATTAACAGTGAATAATCCTATTAATGTTTTATTATGGTCTTAAATAGTAGGTAGTATGTGCAAGCTGTCAAGAAAATTTAAGAGGATTTGGCAATTCTAAAGTTCTTGGTATTTTGACGTGTGCAAGTGTCATGATTTAACCCCAGCCAGCAACTAAACACCATACAGCTGCTCTCTCAGTCCTCCCCCCTTCCAGTGGTATGGGAGGAGAATTGGAACAAAAAAAAGATAAGAATGTCTTTATAACTAAACTAAACTAAAATAATAACAATAATAGTAGTAATAGTAATGATGATGATGATAATAATAAAAAAGAATATGATTATTTTAAAAAAATAAAACTCAAGAAAAGACAAGTGATACACAAGGCAATTGATCACCACCTGCTGACCAACGACTGAGCAACTTTGCTTTTCCTCAGTTCTCTAGTATATGAAACTATTCATTTAGCACCTTCCTGGATATTTTTAGTAGGTTTATTTCTCTTGAGGTGTTCACCTTTTCTATAGATTCGGTAATTGGAAAACATTTTCATTTAATCTCTTGATTTTCTTCTAGTTAGTGATTTGGAGGTAGCCTGTCTTGAATGTGGCTAATTTTTCTTATGAAGCAAAACAGTACCTGAATTTTACAATTTTATAGTGATTTTTATTCTTGCCCGACATTTTGACTTTTTGCAAGGATTGATGAGGGAAGTAATTTTGCACTCTAAGTCAGCTGTGCAATACTGACATCTTACGGGTTTTTGCACACATGTTTTAGGTAGAATGTGGACTTTATGTTTTACAGTAATACTGTATTGATAAACTTCTGTATCTCCAAACCAAGTTTAGCAAATTTTGCAGGCATTTTCCTCACCAAGATTGTGCAAATAAATAGCTAAAAGAAGTTACTCTGTCAGGAAATACTTTCAATGAGTATTTTTTCCTCTAAACCAAGTAGTTATACTTCAGGGGTATCACCTACAGAGTAGTTTGATAGCTGGATTATAACTGAAATATGATCTCGGGAAATCAAGCATTTATAAAGAAACCTTTTCAGAAGCCTTTCCTTAGAACAACTGTATCAGCTAATGCTGGCAGTATAGTACATTGACCATTCTGTGAAAATAAAGAGATGAATCGTTATAACAAATGTAACGATCAGGTAAGCAAGAAATTCAGTGAATGAGGTTTTGAACCTTACAAACTGCACACAGCCCAGACACATTTCCTCTCTCAAATCTGAACAGTCCAGCTCTCTTCTGTATTGGCAGGAGTGCTGCTTTTTTACTGCACACCTTGCATCAGAATAAAGTGAAATCTTGTGTTACCTCACAGGTTGGTATAGGAGCAAGTAACGAATCTTACTTGCACTCAGAACATCTCCACAAGCCAGATCATATTATTGTCTGTGGCAGATGTCAGATTCTAGGTAGGATGCTAGCCATACCTACAGTTTGTTACTTTTGAGCAATCATGAAAATGTCCTGGCATGACCGATTGCATTGCATTGCTCCTGTGATCTTTCTTCCCTCTGGAAGTTCAGAAAAGGAGCAGAAGCTTGTCAGTCACTCTACAGGCTGTAAGTAAAAACAAGGTGTGATTACTTTAGTTTGAAGGTGGAGGAGACACATGCAAGCAACTATTAAGTACAAAAATCGGAAGAACAGTACGTCTTCCACCATTTTGCTTTTCGGTGTTAATTTAAAAACAAGAACCTGAGGTTTTGGAGCTGTTTATTGTTTTTAATTTTGAATTGCAGTTGATTAAGTATTCGAGTCTTTACCTATGTGAATAAGGCAGAAGCTGTCATTGGCCACAGCAGCCTCAGACTTACTGCATCTGGGACAGTGCATCCCTGGAGATTTTCGCTCTGCTGCCAGGTTCATTGCACCCTTTGGAGAAGTTGCAGACTTATCTAGCTTTGTTCTCTGTTTTTCCTTGACTTTACTTTTGTGGACTCATTGAAACATTGGGACACAAAGTTAATTTTTAAATTTATCAACTCATTGAATTAGGTAAGAATGAATGTTGGTTGGGGAGCTCTAGAAAACTTGGCAAATCATACAGTTCCATGGGGCATTGAAGCAACATCTGGTAGTATAGCCAACACAGCTTCCCAGACAAATTATTGTCATGTCAGACTGTAGTCAGTGGATCAATAAGAGCTCATGATAACTGCTAAAATTGAAGTCCTCATCCATTAGTTGGAAGGGGATGGTTTTGTTGTTAACTTTACTATGGTTCACATTCTAACTTTTAGTTTTAGGCCTTGCCAAGGTAAGACAGTACTGTCCCGAAGTAGATCTCTGCATTAGTTGGTTATTTTAATCACTACAGAAGTGGTCATTTGTCAGCACTTTGAAGAGCTGTTGACAACTGCATGGTACAAATCTGAAATACTACAAAGGCAAGTATTTCCACAGATATAGGGTAGCTTATTCTGCACATGGAATTTCAATCCCTAACTTTAAGAAAAGAGGAAATCAACACGAAGGCCAATTGTTACCTTGTTAGCATGCTCCTGTTGCTAGTGCGATCATGAAAATGAGCAGAATGTTAAGACAAAATCCCAAATGGTGAAATATTTATGGAGTTATAAAATAGTTACATTGAGACCATTAGGCTTTGATTTGGATTTGAACATTCATTATGTAATTTAAAATTTTGTAAAGCAGAGATTATAGTTCTCAGTCACCAAAGATGAGTAAACCCGTTTCCTGGAGTTATCAGTGGTTTTGGGAGAGATTTTTAAGCTTTTATTTATCAGTATTTGTAAAATCTTGGAATAGTTATAAGCATGACATTGCAAGGCCACAATTCTTAGAATTTGTAGCCCACTTTGTATTTGCTGGTTGTAAGAGTTATAAAAATGCAAAGTGGTGCTAATACAGCTCTGGAAGATACTATATTGAAAGGCTCCTTCAAAAAATCTAAAGAAAATGCCATAGAGAAAGATGCAGAAAAAATAGATTGAGAAAGGAAAACAAATTTTAGCAGTAGAAGCCATCAAGTAATTAAGTTAGGAAATCTGCAGGAAGAGAGATCTGGAGGCAGTTACTTCAAAGCAGAAGCTTGGCAGAAGTATTTGGGTAGAGTGTCTAGTGTTAGACTTGAAAGTGAGTAGACTGCTTTGCTCTGATAGCTTTGGTGATTGTGTTACAAAGGACTGTTTACAGACAGCAGATCTGTTGGCTACGGGAAGCCCGGTCCATCTTAGGACCGAACACAGACTGAACAGGAAAAAAAACAGTTGCTCAGAGAGGACGTGAGTCTGGGTTTTGATGGGGTTTATTTTTGCATCAGATTGACTTGTATGAGCAGTCTTCCAAATTAAAAGTTCTTGTGTTAGTAGGTACTTCCAGAGCTGGCTAGGTTAGTGAAAAAGACTGCCATCATTTCTGTGTCTTCAATGTACTGGAGTTGTCCCAGTCACTTCGTGTGTTTAAAAAACAAAAGACAACAGTGAGAGGTTAAGGAAGATTTTAAGGGATGGATAACCACTTGTAATGAAGTAGAGCTGATGAGAGTGGGCACTTGAATATTGAAGGGAAATACCTCACTAACAGATAATCCTCCAGACTGGCAACAAGCCTTCGCTTAGAGCTGGAATATTTTGGACTGGCAAGGTAAGGAAGTAAGAGAAAGTCACTGCTCTACAGGTGCATCATCTGCTGCATGAGCTGCCTCTTTCTGAAGATGCTGCAGAAGCGATGACAGGTTATGCTGGGTGAATTTACCCTCATATCTCGCATCTTTGTTGTCTTGCGAAGTGTTGCTGCCTCAACAGGTAGCTTTAAATTATATTGATTAATTTTGAGTTCTCCACGAGAAAGAAATTGACAGACTTTTTTACAACAAGATTAGAATTTCTGATCAGGAAAGGGCACTGTCACATGAATTTATTACATCCTTGAAAGAGAATATACTGTCCTGAGTTTACAAGACTTCTCAAAAATATTATTGACTCAAAGGGAAACCTACAGTGTGCAGTGTTGCACGTGTTTATGTGCAACAGGACACTTGAAGTGCTACTAAATAGTAAGTCCGAACTATGAAATAGCCAGGTGAGACTAAAGGAGTAGACTATATTCATGTATGCACAATAGAATAGATACATACATATGTAGTTTGAACTTTTTTTTTTTTTTATAGACTAGCTACAGTAATCTTCATATTATTAAACCTGAACTCTGTAACTATGCACCCAGGCAGTGCCAAACAAGCTTAACAGACAGTGATTACTCAAAATACACTCTCCAGGTCTGCTTTGAATGTTTAAAATTTTTATTCCATTTGACTTATGTTTCTGTTTGTTTTTCAACTACTGTTAGTGTTCTGGGTTGCTGAATGAGAAGGAAAAGGGGATGTGCAAGCTGCACCACTTGTAGCGGGAAGAGATTTTTTGCAGTAAGCCCTAGAGTTTAGTTATAAATATCCTTCCTTATCTATTTAACCTGGACTTTCCTGTCACAGAGACCAGTGCAATACTAGGAAGTAGGACGTGGGAAGAGAAATCTTGCATGATTTGATTTCAGTCTGGTGAATCTGTTTTGCTCTTTGTAACATCACAGTGAGTGATACATGAAAATGAGAATGAGCAATTAATGCTGTGCAATGCTGTGTAGGGATATTTGTGTTACTTGGGGAATCTGAAAGCACTGTAGCTGTGTTTGTAAAGCATTACACCTATCCAGTTGGACTGGCTAAGAAAGAGGCTACATCAGCAAGGATTGAGGAAATATGCCAGCCTCTCCAGTTGTCTTCCAAACTTAGATTCACTTAGATTCCACAGCATTGTGATGAGCTCTTTGGGCTGCTCAGTGGCTCCTACTCAGCTTATTTTATCAAGAATATGTGTAATTTTCTTGCAATTCAAACCTGTATTTACATGCAATGAATAGAACTTGCAAGTGTAGTGTGACAGCGATGCTGTTGTAGCCTCACACAACGGGATGAGCTTTGATGAAACACCAACACTTAAGGTCTCTGATGGTGCTCAGAGCTCAACAGCTCAGAGTCATTATGACCCTGACTGACTTTTAGTATATGACCACACATAGTACTGGACAGGCACCTTTCACTTTATATTGCTTTGTTTTTTTAATTGTTGTACTCAGACAGCAGGAATGCCTGAGACTTTTTCATTGCTGTGTAAACTTTGTGTCATAGCTGTGTTACTTGAGAATGGTCCCCTGAAGGACTTTACTCAGTAGTCTTTAAATTGGTCTGAATTATGTCTAAATTTAGATACTGTTCAAGGCTGTTTTGTTGCTCTTTCCAGATATTGACATGTAACCTTCCTGATAATTTGAATGGTTGCTCTGACAAAGATGTTTTCCCCGTGAATTTGCACAAATCTGAGTAGAGACAACCTTACTAAACTGCTCTGAAAAATACCTGTTCTGTTCTCTGGGGTTTTTTTAACAACAATATGTTACCTGCTTTTTAACTTTCTTCTTTATTCTTTTATTTGCAGTGATGTGGTTGCATGACCTGCAGCATTATTATAACAGGGACTGTTCAGTGCATGACTTGCTTTTCTGTCCAGACTGCATAACCAAAACTTAACGAGTTCTGCACTTAAGACTCATGACCATCTGATTTCAAAGGGAGATCTACTTGCAGAGAAGCTTGCCATCCTGGGGAGTGGCTTTCCCATTTCCCGCTTCCATTTACTCTTTCTCTTCACAAAAAGTCTCCTATGAGGCTAGAAGAGAGGAAATCCAGTATTCGGAACTCAACAGGAGGCGTTCTGCAAACTGACAGAGCACTGTCAGCTCTCCATTTTACTTCCGCCTGTCCACTTTATTTAAATCTGATTAACAGTATTAACCCACAGACTTCCTGCAACATTTTCATATATTGAACTATAAAAGTCTAGTCTTAATGAGTTCCCCAAAATAACTTTTGATTACTATTAAAATTTCAAAGCATCTGCACCCTTAAAGGATCCACTTTCAATCTTTAAGTAATTAAAGTGAAGGAGGTGTTTTACCAGGAGAAATGACTAATGAATTGCTGCCTGGCCATCCCATCTTCCCTAGAAAACCAGTCAAGGTTCATCTGATAATCTCCGAGCCAGGCAAACTATGGGGTGGTATTTTGTTCACAGACACTGCCTGCTTCCTTACTATGTATATACACAGTAGTTTGTGGCTGCTGTATATTATTCTCTTCATTTTAGCTGTGTTGTGATTTTCTTTCTGAAACTTTTTTTTCAATCTCTGTGCAATTGTTAAAACAATCTGAGGAAAGAACATGAATGGAGATAAGTATGAAAGCTGTCTACACTTTCAGTATTATGCAGACTGTCCTTGCCAGTTTATAATTTAGGTTGTTTATCTTTTACCTGTACTATTTTTTTTTTCTCCTTACCACAGTCTTAGCTATTTAATTTCCAGTTGCACTAGCTTGGTTCTTTCTTTGTATTATGGAGTTTAGCTATAAGCTTTGCTCTATGTAGACAGTGTAACTCAAAATGCTTTGTACTGCCTTTATTAATTTAAAAAGCTGCTTATTTAATGTTCTTAAGTATCTGCACATTTGTACTACTGTATCTTTGTTTTGTATTGGACATCCAGTACTGGCAAGATTCAGAAGATGAGGGAGTGCTGTAGTGTTATAAGTTAAGAGGTTTATTATATAGGAGTTAATATGTAATAGGCAGGGAAGGGGGCTTTTAAGCCATAGGATTTGCTGGAAAATTTGAAGAGAGTCTCAATGATGAGTACAGTAAGTGGTTTGGTTTAAGTCCAGTTCTAGAGAAACCCCATTCTTGCTCACATAAATCTTAATCCTGCAAAAATATAAACACGTATGTGCTCTGCTTACTCCAAAAATGGTTTAGTTTATTCAGGCAGTAGCATTACTACGAGCCCTGTTTTCCATGTGAGCACCCCCATGCTTAAGAAGTGTTGTGTCCAGTAGTCTCTGTAGTCACTTCTGGTCACAAGACACAGTGCGAGCCTTGTCTCTGGCTGGCCAAGTGGGTCCTCTGGGCAGAGCTGCACCTCGTGCCCTGAGGCACCTGCATGTGTTCAGTCCTCAGGGATCTGGATACCCACTGTGTCATTAGCGCTGTGCAGAGTGACTTTGGGAAAAGACAGATCACATCCTTACCTCTCTTTCCACAGCGGGGTCTGTGCCACCCAGCAAAGGGAAGGGCAGGTAGGGATGGTCTGCAAGCAGGAAGGATTAGCATTAAGATACTGGTGAGAAGTGTGTGTCGTGTTCCCTTCTGGACACTATACTGGGCAGGGGAGCCTGTGGCTACCAGGTGCTCTGGCTGACGGCAGTCTGGAAAGACTGCTAGTGGGGGATATGTTGTTCCTGGTCCACCAGAACCTGGGACAGTGAAGTCTGATGTGACCTGCAGGCAGGGTCTGGGGTTTGGTGGTGACAAGTCAGGTATTCCTGCAGCAGAGGCACCAGCACTTCCATCAGACTGAGTCCAGCAGAGAGCTAAAGGATTTGTGTCTTTCCAGGTCCTAGTCATTGATCCCTTGATTTTGTGTCAGGGCAAGCATTATTATAAAAACTTATTTTTGTTGGGTGTTAAAGGCATGGTTTGTTTCTCATTTGCAAGTGCTGCTTGGGCTGGGCCCACACCTTGCCCCAAGACAGGCTAGGTCCAGGATCCCTGAAATCAGGGGCTCTGTGCAGGGTGGGAGGGGATGGCTTTTTTCGTGCACCTGCCCGCACAGATGTCCCGAGGTGAAGCTAAGCAGTACCTCATTTCTCCAAGTGGTCTGTGCAAGTTAGAGACTTAAGTATCGGTTGTTCTTGAGCCTGAAGACATTTGTATGTAAGTGTGTTTAGCTTGACAAAAATTGAGTTCACGAATCCAACAGAGAGAGGTCAGGTGGAGCCAGTAACTCAGCGAGCTGGGTACTTTGATTAGCCTAGCATCTCTGTCATGAAGTGATGGTGAGCTCACAACTCAGAGGTGATCTCCAGCATGTCTCTGATATACTAACTACATTTGTGCTGCAAAGGAAACTCTTTTACTTTCTTAACAACAGCTTGTTTGACAGTCCTGAATTAAATGTTGACCAATTATCAAAGTAACTGTTTGTGAAGTTGCCAGTGATAAATTTTCTGTAAAAGAATGGATTCTTAGAGTGTCAAAACATTAATTTCCCATTTCTGTTCATCTACAAATTGTGTAACTACCAGATTGTCATGGTAGCAGTATTAATATACATATCTGTATATAGATTAAAAAAAAAAATACTCGGTAATGATCATTGGAATCAAAAGGTTTAATATTTTTTCCCAGTCAAATACACTAATGCTTCCAAGGTGACAGAAGAGTGTACAGTTGTTAAACAAGTTGTAAATAAACGCTTATATAAAATGTAAATGCTTGGTTTTTCCTTTATTTGGTGCTTGGATATAAACTGATGCCAATGCACAGTTCATGTTAAGGTTACTGATTTGATCCTGAAGTGCTGTCCTGCTCTGAACTGATGGTAGCTGGTGGGGGGCTTTTGCAGCTAGCTGTTAAATTAGCAGGAACTGCAGTGGAGAGTGAGTAACATGGTCAATACATATTTTGCCTTTAATCTTAGGATCAGTCACTACAAAATAGCCAGGGAATAAAATGGGACTTTTTACAAAGCAAAGCTACACCTGGGATGCTTTGGTGTCAGCTGGTCAGTCTGATTCTTAGATAGACAAATAGCATCTTGGAAACGCATTTCCTGGGGCTGTGCAAAGGAGGGTGCATGACAGCTAGGCAGCATCAGGAGCAGTTCATCACAAATCTCAAACTTCCTGACTTTTTCTGGAAAGCATCTGACCTGGCTGCCCTATCACAGCAAAAATTGCTCAGCATGGTTTGTCTCTCAAAGGCCCAGGCTAAACAGCCAAAGTACTGGAGTTGTCTCTTGCTGATGGAAATTTAGCTACAGAGGTAGCTAAAGAGGCTGGGGGGAAACCACTGCTAATATGGATGGAAACAATTGGTCTTCCTTTCTGCATTGATAAGCAGCTTCTCCCAGGGGGTGGGTGGGGGAAGGGAAGGGAGGAGGCAGCGTCAGACATGGGTAAACGTTGTTAGTTGTGAAAGACAAGGCAACAGCCGGCACGATACTGAACCCACAACTGCCATGCACCGTGCCGGGGCTGAGAAGGATGCGTGATGACCCTGTCGCAGCCTTTCAGGGGCTGCCTTGTAGAAGGAGAGCAAAAACGGGAGCATCCCCAGCCTGCATCCCCCTGTGCTGGTCTAGCTTGGTCCTGCAGCACTGCTGTGGCAGTAACAGGAGAGCCCTGCACAGCTGCCTGGGGTAAGGTGCTTGCTGACTGGGGAAGGAAGGAGAGCCTGAAAACATCACCTCTAGCTGATAGAACTTGTCATGGTTTGAGCCTGGTCGGCAGCCAACCACCATGCAGCCACTCTCTCCCCCTTCTCTTCCAGCAATAAGAAAGGACAGATGAGTCAGGCTTGGGGTTTGAGATAGGACTGGGATGGGGAAAATATCACCCTTTGTGGTCATGAGCAAAAGGCAGACTCGTTAGGGGAAGAAAAAAAAGAACATACATTTATTACAGACAATAACAACAACACTTAACAGAGTAGGACAGTGAGCAGCATTGCCACATCTTGAGAACACCTTCCCCCCACCCCTCCCTTCTTCCCGGGCTCAGCTCTGCTCCCGATATCTCTACCTCCTCCCCCAGCAGCACAGGGGCAGGGAATGGGGGGGTGCAGTCAGTGCTGCCACTTCTATTTTCGGTGGGGGGAGCTTCTGGATCTTCTCCCCCTGCTCCATCGTGGTCCCCTTCTCACAGGAGACAGTCCTCCACAAACTTTCTCCAACAGGAGTCCCTCCCTTGAGCCACAGCATTTCCTTACAGTGCTCCATCATGGGTCACTAACTTCCTCCGACTGGAGTCCCTCCCATGGCTGCAGCCCTTCCCGAGCTGCTCTGGCGTGGGACTCCCCCGCATGCTGCAATCCTCCCAGCGCTGAATTACAGCAACGGGGCTACCTTTTCCCATGAGACCCCGGCCTTCTTCGGGCACAGAACCTTGATCAGCCATGAGAAATGGAACACAGGCCGTAAATCAATGTCTGCTCCACCGTAGATCTCCATGGGTGGCAGGGGGGGCCGCCCTGCCGTCTCACCACAGGATACAGGAGGGTCTCTGCTCCGGCACACCTCCCCCCTCCTTTCTCCCTCCGTTCCTCCACTGACCTTGGTGTTCATGCAGCTGCAGCAACTCCTCCTCACAAGTCCCACTGCCCGTCACCACGTCCCTTCTTAAATACGTTATCACAGAGGCACAGCCGATTGGCTCAATTTCCCAAACAGAAGTGGAGCTGACGTGGAGCTGGGGGAGCTTTGAGAAGCTTCTCATAAGGGGACGCCCCTATAGCCCCCTCCCCTGCCACCAAAAAACTCCACCACTCACTCAACCCAGGACAGTATTCAATCTGGTCCTCTGCCCCCCTCAGCTGCTCTTCACCTTGGTCATTACTACACTGTCCTGCCTCTGATCATCATCCCCTCTACTGTCCCAACCTCTCCTTCATTTTGCTGTACTTTTTTTTCCTTCCCAGCTCCCTACCCCATCACTATCTGCACTGAGGCCGACATCAGCATCCCCTGTTCCCACCTCCCTTATCTCCTCCCTGCCCATCAGACTCCTCCACATCAACCCCTATAAGGCCACGGTCATCTCCCTACAACACTTAGCCCTTCCTTGTGCCCAGGTGTGTTTGTGCAGAACTGTGGCTGACGCTTCACCATACCCATCCACAGTTGCTAGCCCAACGGGGAGAACGCAGCACCGCAGGCTGTCAGCCACTGCAATCTCTTCCACACACCTCACAGCTGCAGGGGCCCTGTTTTTGCTGCTGTATCCAAAGAGCATTTATCCTTGTGTTGTATTAGATGCTCTTGCAGGAGGCAACAGCCACAGCTGGTAAAAGGACATGCAGTGAGAGCACAAGCTTGAAGCTGCACAGTTCCCCTTTGCAGTTGCCCCTTTGCATTTTTTTGGCCCACAAGTAACTTTAAGCATGATGCTATGCACACAAGTATCTGCAAATAAACCCTTGTGCACATAGGCCTGCCTCAAGATCCTTGAGCCCGACACATTTTCATCCACTCTGCTCTGGAAGCGGAAGGCAGCAGCACACTTGCCAGGAGGCTGCACACAACTGGGTGCAAGGACTGCAGGACCCCCAGGGAGGGCAGTGTCACTCCACCCTTCAGCACAGGGGACAGCACCCAGACCGGCATCTCCACCAGTGCTAGGCACACGTAGTTAGTTCCTTTTCCTTAGGACCCTAAAATAATAAAATGGCCTCAAAACAGCAAGGTGTCCCATATATTTGGCAAAGCTGGCAGCTCCAGAAGTGCATGTTAGGTATGTTAGAGAAGAGCAAAGGAAGATTAAGTGATGTAACTGGAAGTCTTCACACACCAAATATATCCACTGCTTCCCTGTTTCAGGTCTTCTGAGAGCCCCTGGGGGCAGTGGAGCATCTCTGCCTCCTGGTACTTCTGGCTGGAAACGGAGAATTGCCTTTACCCCTTCCCAACAGTCAAGCATCTCAAAACCGCAAAATGTGCACACATGTAGATGTCTGGCTTTTGAGCTAAGATACAATGTCCACAAGCTACCTGGGAGCACAACTTTACACCGAGAATGAGGGTCTTGCAAACCCTTACTGAGATAAGGGTAGAGGAAGAAAAAAAAGAAAACAAAACCCAAAAAGCAACCAGCCATCACCTCCTCAATATCCCAGTGAATTGATGAAGGCAGTCATAACCACGAATTAAATCTTCAGCTGGATGGAAGTTAAAATATGTTTTCGTTGTACACCACACCACAATGTCTGTCTTTGGCATTGATCCCAAAAGCAGAAAAATAACAGACCCCTGATTAAAGCCAATCACAAACAGAACATAGTGCAATTCCTATTAACTTTTCCATGCAGTCTGGTGAGACTCGTTCAACAGCACCTTCAACGAAGTTTGTGTATCCCTTCAACTGCTATAAAATATTATCAGTGTATACACAGCCTGCTGTCTGCCCCCTCCCCCAGAAAGGCTTTTTGGCAGTCCTTACTAGCTGAAGACTGACACCAGAATGAAAGCTGGCACGCTCTCAGCTGACAGTGCAGTAAAACACGAGGCAGCCTCTGGTGCATGAGCAGCAACATGGGGGAAGCCGCGTGCCGAGCAGTGCACAGGAACACACAGCCCATCACACAGCCTGGGACCTGTCCCAGCCCAGCTATGGACCTGCACATCAAGGGAACACAGGGTTAGCATCAAAACCTCTGTGAGGGCTCACACCAAGAGTTCACAACACTGACTGCTGATACTAATCCCCTACAGGATTCCCCTGCAGAGTTCCTGAAGGCTATTTTCACTGTAGTCAGAGCACACTGAAAATAAACATAGATGTTTTGGAAATACCCCCAAAAATACTGTTCTGACAAAGCTTACTCTGTGAAGGAAAAACGCTTCCCTCCAAATAAGAACTGGCAGACTACTAGAGTAAATACCTTCCCAGCAGCCATTTCATATTACTTCTAAACCTAAAATGCCCCAAACAACAACTGAAGATTCGTAAGAGTTAGTGTGATACCGTAATGTGATAAAAGAATACTTTTAAAACCAAGCCATCATATATTCTGTCTCTAAATAAACATGGATAGTACTGGTTTGCAACCTCTTCAAAGCAAGTGGAGTCTGGAAGTCACACAATGCAAGTGTCCTCTGGAGACCAGCCATACACCCATTCTAAGTAACAAGACACTGAGAAGAGCCTATTTTAAATGCATCTTGTTGCATGGAAACTTGAATTCACCTACCTGGAAGAGTTTACGGTTACATACTTCATCACCTGCCAAAGCATGTGGTCTTAAAACATGTTTATGTAAATCACCCAGCATTTCTACATGAGCTGATTTTGTACACAGTTGGAATTAATGACAGCTGCAAAAATTTCTGGAACAAAACTGTCTGGATAATACATCAAAACCAAAGAAAATCAACTGAACAACAGTCTTGAAAATGCTTTATTGAACTGTGTGTCTTATTGTAATGTGCAGAAGATGTGTTTGAAAATACTACAGCTTGAAAAAATTTTGAAAATCCTCAACAATCAATTAAAAAAGTCCCTACTGGGGGTAACTCTCATGATAAGCAGAGGCCTCATGTAAAGTTTCCCTTGAAACATTTTCTGTTGCAGAGACTAAAAGAAAACAAAGCTGGTACTGTTCCATGTGGAAACAATCAGGATTTGAGGATTTAAAAAAAAAAAAAAGTCTATGGGGTTGTTTCTTTTGCTGCTGTTATTTTGGATTAGCATACACGTCACAGTTCTGCTAAGAACACCATCTGGTGTTCAAGTCTGTAAATTTATTCTAAAATGCTAGCAATACTGCAGAAATGGAAGGATACAGAGAAAGAGAGAGGGGGTGAGGTGAGAAAGATCTGGAAAGACACCATTATGATAGTTTAAAAGACACCATTAGCCTAGTTTAAAATTTAATCAGAAGCTGTGCGTACTTTTGTTTTTATAATCTAACTTTATATTAAAAAAAAAAACCAAACACACAAAAAAAAAAAGAAAACCAAACCCAAAAACATATCCCTTCTGTCCTTGTCTTGAGGCTACTATAAAATTCTATGCACACCACCACCATACTTTGCTTCCAAACCAGTAGGGTTAACAGTACAGACATGTAGGTGGCATGATTCAACTAAAAAGCTTTTTAAACTTTATATCAGCAAAAATAACCAAAAGAAACAATAAATAAAAGGTGCTAAAGTTAGCATTAAGAATTCAATTGTAATATACTGACAATCTGGGAATCCAAATCCTCAAGCTCTCCTCACACTGACAGGTCTCTGCAAACGATGAAGCAAATACATAAATAACTCAAAATACGACTGAGACTGTGAAAGGCTTTTTAAACTAAGACAACATGATCCAGGTTAACTTTTCTTTTTTTAAACACAGTGAATATATGAATTGTCTACACCTGAATAAAACATACTTAACAATTAAAAAAAAAAATTAACAACCATGAAAAGGAAAAACTTTAAACAAAAGTGAACATCATTTGATTTTAGGGCACACAAAAGCCCTTTGCAATAGCTGCCAGCAGTGGCTTTACTGTTGTGTCTCCTACAGATGCATAAAATGAAGTTCAACTCCACACTGAGTTGGTGGCTAACAGGGCAACATAATGGTCACGTACAGCAAAATGCCACATCCTGGTCACAACAGTATATCCCACTGCAGAGTTTCCATCTTGTGTGGGAACAGCATATAAAGATGTCATTCTGTTATGTATTATTCAAAAGCTACTTCGTGGCCATAAACTGCTAGTCAGAACTAACTTTTTCATCACGTAACCTTTGAATAATGGGAAAGCTTTGGGTTTTATAGTTTTACTCCTTGTATTTAAATTTTTAAATGACAAGGTCACTAAAACTCATGCACGCTGCAAAAAACGTCATGCAGTAGTTAAGGTAAACCATTCAAGCAGTTTTTATTCATTAATATTCATAAATACACACAGCAGCTTCATTAGAGATTTTTCAATTTTTCCTCTTCAGTTTGAATGTGGAGTATTAGGAGAGCCTTTTGCATGTCAAGGTACAGGACACAGAGCTTTTTGCTCCGCACTGCAGCCTACATTTACCGGCTAGAAGTAAAAATTAGTTAAGTGGAAATGATTATCATATATATCTTTTCTCTCTTTCTTTTGAATGTACACAATGTAACAAGAGTGACAGACCTGAAATTACAATCACCAAAACAAACCCAAGATAGTTGTTGTCCACTTTCATTGGCAAATACAGCACAGAGGACATTGTCTGCAAAGTGGGATGTCATCAAAGAGGAGGTGGAGGAGGCTCATTTCCTTTATTACTCTCTTTTAAATTTAGGTTTTCTAAAGCAACATCTAGAGGCATAATATCTACACAGCCCATAGCACCAAAATCTGCAATCTCCCCCCGCTCATCCTCATCTGAGGAGGAACTTTCTTCCTGCATTAAAGTGGACAGTAGAAGCTCCTGAACAAACAGGCTGCAGTCTGCCCGTTCGCTTTCCATTGACTGACGCTCTGCTTCTGACATCTTCGGGTCATTCAACCTGTACAGCAGCGAGGGAAGAGAAGACAGGCAGTTGGTCAAAGCCCATTTCAGCAATGACACTACTGACAGGTGCCAAAAAGCACTCAAAAACCACTCCAGGATAGTCCTGCTTGCCCTTCAACACATACAGCTCTGGCAACCTCCAACACCACAGTACAACGGGCACACACTTAATGAATCACCCTTTCCTTCTTGCTACAACAGCATTCGAAGTGGAGCCTAAATGTGAGGTTTCCCGCTATTCAGAAGTCTTTTAGGGAGGGCTGTTGCAATTTTCTAGACACTCATTATGTTCCCCATTTTGTTTCTAGGTCAACTTCTAAGTTCACATATTCCACAAAATAGGTTACTGCATGTAAGCCTAGGGATTCCCAAAGCATGAGAGAACGAACATTCACTCCACCACTTCTCCTAGGTCATAGTACATGCCCTGACAGGCAAGGAAATTGTTTGCTCCAACTCTGAAAGTCACAATCTATGACACTTGCAGGTACTTTGATTAAATGTCTCAAATAATAATGAGTTTCTGAATGAAATACGTTACATGGTATTATATTGTACTTAAATAAAAGTCAGATTGACTCAAATCCAGGTTTCTTGACACAGGAGCTGTTAAAATGCCCACACTCTTTCACAATACTAAACTGATAAACAACAGTATGTATGGGTGAGCACGGCAGGGAAGACGGGGAAAACATTTTTATTTCAGGTCAATAGTCAACCTACTAAAAGACCTGGAATGACATAGTGGGTGACTCCTCTTTAAAATAACACTGGGACCCAAGTACACTTTCTAAGCCAGGTAAGTATTCTGTTAATTAATGGCATCGTTTATTTGCTTTGTTATCAATTCTTTAAAATGATTTATATATAAATACCTCTTCAACCTTCAGTTTTTACTAAAGATTCATTTCCTATTAAACATTACTACCTTCTGACTCTCTCCCCCTCCATCACAGCTCAAGTCTATATGCTTTTATCACTGGAAATGCACTTGTTTTGTTAGAAGTAGTAGGGGAAACAAGCACAATGTAGTTAAGAAATATTCCTTTTGTTCCTCCTGAAGTTGAGATGCAGCAACTAATGTTTACTCACTGCTTAGGAGCAGACAGGCAGTAGGTTTGAAAAGATGTTACAAATGCAAACAAAAGCACAGTATGCTGGCTACAGACTGTAAGGATCTGGCAGAAGTCCCCTGCCTGAAGTCATAACTAACTTACTCAGACAAAACTCAAAACCAGCCTCCTTTTCAAGGTTTGCAGAAATCCATATTCAAGTCTAATCCTTTAAACACATTCCTAGACGTGTCAAAAAAAGTACAGCACACTTGTGGGATCGCCTCTTTTTTTTTTGCAAACACTAGACCAGCACAGGATTTCTGCAGTCAGCTCCTGGATTTGGCTTTCCAAAAGCAGAATAATTCCCTTTGGGCCAGCTGTAAACTGCTACTCTTGGATATTAAATTACCAGTTTTACTTTCATGCTAGAAATATGGTTGAAGCAAACTTTACGTATTCCACATTCTTTAACCACTGTTGATGTCTACCATGAATATATTCTGTATGATTGATTAGCCTGTTAACTCTGGGATATATTTCATTAGTCACTGCTTTACTAGGGCATGTGCCTAACTCCAAACACTGAAGTTTCATTGAACTCCATGCCTCTATCAGGACTAAGGCAAAGAGAAATGGTAGAAGGTAAATACACAGAGGAAGCTACCTTGAAAGAAGAAACTGGGAATTCTGGATAGTCTGCTGACTGCTTTCTGTGTTAGATGTGTTGGTTGTTGCTGTAGATTGTGTCATAGTGGTGTTGACATTGATCGTGTTGGTGCGTCTAGTTGCATTGCGTGCAGTCTCCAGTTGTTGTCTTGCTGCCTGTGCATGCTGTCGTTCCAACTGCAGTTGCATCTGCAGCTGCTGTAACTGGGAAGCAGAAGGGCCCGAGGAGTTGAGCTGTCCTGCAGAACGCCTCACACCTGATAGCTGAGATAAAAGCTCTGCCAGAGAAGAGAAAGTTTCTATAATGAAAGATCTTCAATGAGCATTACACAATAGAACAAATACATCCTGAATTCCAGTCCACAAATTCCTTTTTCCAGTCAATAAAATCAAAGAACAAACAATGCTGAAGAGCCCATGAAGCTCTTGAAAAAAGTCCTAGCATTCAAAGTCTCAAGCGGTAATGAAGATTAAGATGCATTTATACAGATTTATTACAAATATGAAGTCTAAGTTTAATGCCTTCAAAATAACAGGAGAGCCAATCTACAGGGAATGCCTGGCAGATGATGTCCTCTGCAGTAATTCTCTGAAACTTCAAGTCGAAAGAGCAATTGACTAAGCAACTACTTCATTTTGGCTTTGGTTGGTGATTTTATTTGCCTCTCAACAAATGTTCCCTCAAAACACAGGCTTCACCTCCCCAATGTTGCAGAGGGAAGCTGTGCTGCAGCAAAGAGAAATATCGGACCATTGCTTCAAACATGTAATAGAAATTATCTAGTTAAGAAAAGATATTAAAGTATTGCCTCACATCAAAACTGAAGTGGTCAAACATTTTCACTGCATGAACTTTTATTTCTGCCAGAAGTACAGAGAAGGCCTAGCAATTAAAAAAATTCTGTCCTTAAGTCTTCCAGTTCAGAGGGATGGAATGCTAATAGCAAGTTTCATCCACAAAAGGTTTTCTGAAATAAATATTAGCAGCAAATTACTCCTCAGTGCATTACTGCAGAATCTCTTCTACACCCTCTGCAGAAGGTAGTTCTTATATCATCTGCTTGCTGTAGTAGATGCAAGGGCAAAGGAAGTAGGGCACGATATTGCTCCTATCCCTCATCTCTACATTGTAAAGTTACTATATAGGTCATGGAAATTCTCCTTTCGCTGCATTAGCAAAATATAATCCTTCTAAATAAGGACTTCTTTGAGGGAATAAAGCAAAATGCAACTGTTTTCCATGTCAGAAACTCCGGATGGTCAAGTGATTTTTACCAGCATTGACAGTAATATCAAAATTAAATAACTTAATTCCACTGTAACTATTGGAAAGTGCCAAAGGGAGAGGGAAAAAAAAAAAAAAAGTAACATACTATAAACTCCATTTATTTTAAACAGAAAAATTCTGGTGGTCTTTCCTATTTATTACTCTAGTAAAAAGAAAGACATATCAAACTTCCAGACAAGATTTAGATGTATTTATTCTCACTGCAAGTTAAAGCATAAGTTAAAGCTTAGTGTATAGCAAAACAGTATCCTGGAAGCAGATGTGACCTTAAGACAAGTGTCTTGGTATAAGGACACCAAGCTCAGTATGCACCTGAACTCTAAAGCAAAAACAGAGTTTCCACCAAAAAAGAAAATATTCAGAAGAATGCCATTTTATCCCACATTTAATGCTGTCAAGTGGAGAGGCCTTGTGAGGCTGAAAATAAACCTCAGCCAGCCACTCCACATTTAACTGAGCTGAACTAGCTGCTCTTATAAGAGAAATAAATACAAGGTCCGGCACTGGAGACTTCAGAAACATCCTTCCTCCTTGAACAAACTCTAGTCCTTTTCAGACCATCCTGTGACCTTGCTTAATTTATTTTCTTCTCTTTACGAAATACTTTTTCCCAGCCAATTTAATGAGTTAAATCAGATTGCAGCAGGCCAGTAGAGCACCAGAGCCAGTAGAAGGCAGGCAAGGGGACCACGATTAAGGCAGGCAGTGCAGCCACAGCTCCCCTTTCAGGGGCAATGCATCATTAAGCTGGCTGGCTACCTCCCTCTGAAGAAGTCACAAGATCATAGTAGGAAGCTACAGTTTAAGCATTATCCCTTCTTGGCATCTGAAGCAACGGTGGATTATGGCAGAAGTTCTGAGGTTTCCCTGACACTTACGCTGGCAAGGTCAAAGACCACCACATAAACACTTTAGATTTCCCCTTAGGGAAAGCTGTATTTGTTTTCAGAATTGTCTTCGTTCTCTATTTTTTATTTCCTGTAAAAAAAGTTATTTTCACATCAAAGCTAAACATACACCAAACAAGTTATTCTTGGGAATCCTAAAGACACATCTTCATTACTTTCTGGTGTTGAAAATGAGACACCCTTCCCCTTCCCTCCTCACATTTTTTCTAAACTTAACAACAATACACTGCAAATACTTGCAGCAGTACATTTATGTAAGAATTTCCAAGTACACACACACACAAAAACCTGTGATATCAGCAAGTCTGGCATTCAAACAGCAGCCTGAATGCAAACTGAACACATTTTAGATGTCCATTAATACTGAAATTCAGCTAATTTCATCTTAGTGAGACAGATACTTTCTTCCATAAAAACCTTTATCCACATGACAAATTAAAATGAGATGTACTGAAATAGATGGTGGAAGCTGGACACAATCACTTGTAAAAATATGCAACAACCGTGCATAGATCAGGATTGGGAATAAGCTTTACACTGTCTAGAATGAAAAGCACAAGCTACAGGCAGCAGTTTCAGCTTCAGCATCTCCATGTTGTGACAATCCAGCCAAGCACACTGCTCACCTGCAAGCAGCCATCAATCACATTTGCACTGTGGAAGGTATCTATATGTGCAGCTTCATAACAACAGAAAGCAAGGCAACTATTATAATTTTGACTTTTACTTCCTCTGGTTAAGAAGGAAACTAGGGTAAAATTTGTAGTTACAGCTCTTACCAGCTATAGGATCCATGGCTTCTCTATTGCTTGGAGAATACGAACTCTGAGAAGATGAAAGCCCACCAGAGGAACTGGTAGTAAAGTGCATGTTTGATCTACGTGCACGAGGGCCTCCCAAACCCCGGCCTGGGTGGAACATCCTACGTACATGCCGGACACCACTGGATTCATCGTATCCAAGAAGTTAAGAAAACAGAACTGTTTGGCATTGACTATTAAATGACAAGGACGTTTGATAAGTGAAATATGCAGGTGCATCCTGTTCCTCATTCATAAAAAATATCCAACTTCTGAAGCAAAGTTAAGTTACACTGTAGCTATGGTGCAAATCAGACTTACTGATCTGAACTCGAGATACCCAGTGCTGTGTACACCAAACTACCTGTGTTTCTTCAGCTTTTTATGATGTCTATGAAACATCAAGGTTTCATAGGTTTTTTAGATTAAAGTTTTCTACTCAGTAATCTGAAAACTCTGATAAATGCATGTTCAGCCAAGTTTATAGAGAGACATATGGATTTTATTCTCCCTCCCCAATTCTTACGTTAGGTATTGAAAATAATAAAAAAGTTTATTGCCATTCCTATCAAAAGTGAACAATAATTACCATATTCTTTTTGACTTTTATACTTCATGCTTTTATCCAAGAAATTTCATCACTTCAATCCTTAATAAATTGTAGGTTTCTGGAGTATTCAGCACTTTCATCACAGTCTTTTGTTTCACCCTTCCTCTTCTTGCCAAAGAAATACCACTAATTCCAGTTATGACAATGATGCTTTCTACTTTCCCATTTTACTCTACTTATCCATATCAGACGCTTATATTTCAAGTAATACTTTTCATACATTCTCTCATATAAACAAATTATTTAAAGGTTATTTTTGTCAAAAAGTTAATATCAGGCTTCCTTTTATTTTAACAATCACTAGTATAATTTACTAGAACAAAATGAAATAGCATAGGCCTGAATATTTTATTTTACTGTTACTAGACCTTTAGGTTAGATCCTCCTATCTCCCATGTTCTTCATTTTTACAATAGTATGCTTACTACTCATATGGTATCTATTACTGTATAAGAGTAGCGTCCAATGTATTTTTCACAAAACACAGTTAAGAGTGCAGAACTTCAGGATGCCATGGAGGTCAAGAACTTAAGACTGAAATTACTAGTCTTCTCATGGCAAGAAAGAACTTCTGGCTATTACAAGAAGATTTTATGGAATGATTGCCTATTTCAAACCTATTAGTTATGCTACAGTGTAAAACACTTAACACCCAGGGTGCAAGAGGAAAATCTCCCCTGGCACAGAATACACTTTGCCTAGCACAGAGTGCCTTTCACCTCTGAGTGTGCCTAAACTAGATGCTGCTGGAGACAAGACACTATATTAGATGGACTACTGCCCGCATGCAGTCTGGCAAGCTTTTCGTAACTAGACCAGAGAGAAAAGGCCAGTATCCAGGGATTTGTCAAGCAGACACAGGATTGTGGTGTAACTTTCCTAACTGCAACTTTTAAAGTGTTTTGAGATAAACTTGATTCTTTAAATATTTAGATGTGTGCACCGAAGTCTTACAAGCTACGTTAGATTAAGAAGAATCTTTGTAAACCTTAACTTGTGACAAACAGATAAACTGAACAGCCATGCAAGAACTATTTGTACAATTGGTGCTGAAAAGCTGTATTTAATAAATTTTCAAATATTTTCCTGCTGAAGTAAGAAACTGGTCTCTAAAGAGCTGTCCCTAGACTGTAGGAATAAAGGACATACCTTGCAATGCTTGTACAAGGTTTATAACAAGGAACATATGCAGCCTTCTGGGACAACTTAAGGAAAAAAACAACAAAACCAAAATAAACCACACATTTCTAATCAATACTTGGAAGATGAGGCCACTCCTCAGAACTCTAGGACAGCCAACAATAAAAGCTTACCTCAAACTGTAACAGAAATCTTCACTCTGAAAAAGTGCAAGTGAAGAGCCTTCTCTCTATCTCCTTTTTATACATGAAAGTTGTTACAGAGCAGAGGGTTGTTCTGTACAGCTTTAACTTCATATGAAGATGTTTAGAACAGCAATATAACAGTATCAGAGAGCAGCTTTCTCACAGCCTCATGACTTTCACAGTTATACTTTCCTTCACTGACACATCCTGGATGAATAGAGGCATCTCCTCTTCCTATTTTCCTACTTCAGAGCTGTTGCTAGACATGACGCAGAGCACAAGATGGAATAGTAACTTCAGGATACACTTCTTACCAGGTTTTGGAGACTTGGCAACACTGATCACTAAAGCAATAGCGTACAAGCAGAAAATTCTACATGCTTTGTCTTTAATGCTGACTCATAGACAATGTATTCCCAAAATATATCCAAGATAGATCCATTTTGGGATGACTGACATTGAACCCTTACTCTGTATTTGAAAAGACTGATCTTCCTACCTCAAACATTCCCAAATTAAAAGCCATCTGGTGGCATCTATGATAGTGGAGGCGGAGAAAAAGCTGCAGAAACATGAATTCTAATCAAACATCTTGTTAATTTCACTAGTAAAATAATTTCACTCTCTAACTGGGAGAATGTAAACTTTCTGGCCTACAAAGCAGTTAACCCAATGTTGGAGGCCCACAGATTGACCTTTAGTACATTGCTATGTAGTTATTACGGATCTAAATTTTGTTAGAAAAAGCATAGTAGGCAGGTGCTATGAAAAAATCATAATTGGTAGAAAGATCAGAAGTGGTACAAGAATTGCTCAGTGACTCACTATACCGGTTATCAAGCAACATCACAGAGCCATCCAAAGGCCAGGAAAGGTCCAATGGTCTGGAACATGCTCTCCCCTCATCAATCTCATCCCACCTCCCCCCAAAAGGGAGGATGACAAGACTGCTCTGGGGGACATAGACCATGGAGGAACTCCCTGGACACTTGGACCAATCTCACATGGACAGAGCCACCACACTCGGCACCCTACTACTCCAATGCTGAGAGCCTCACTCCTGTCCACTGGGAAAGGTGAAGTAGAGATAACTGCTTTAACTTTGTAGTGTTCTTAGCACTATTAGTTTCTCCTTTGCTGAGCCAATAAACACCCAAACTCCCTTACACTCATACAGTTATTGTGTAGTAATTAACATGTGGATTTAGCCTGTCCTGACTCTAACCACGGTAACTCTAGCAAACTTAAATGCAAACAAACACAGTCATAACTGAAACAGAGCCATGTCCTTCAATGCTGTCTCCCTTCTGTTAGTGTAACAAACTTTTGCCCCCTTTTATTTTTTTATTCCAGTTACTAGGGCTTATTTTTTTTCCTTTTAAAAAAAATCTTTTTTAAAAAAAAGCCCCTTTCAAAATAATAATGTAGTCTTTTTGCTTGTTTGTTTAAATGAGACACAAAGGAATACTTCAGAGAGATTACGTACTGTAGGTAGGCTACATAACCTGGATGTCATTAACTAAAAAGCCTAAACCAAAATACATTTCATCAGTTAAAACTGGAGGGGAAATTAAAAAGAGAAAAATATTCCTAGAACAAGGATAAAAAAAACAAAATAGTTCCAGCTCTTCAGCATATGCTTTTCTGCATAACCTGCTGCTAGGTAACTGAAAGGTAACATCTTATTTCCCAGGAAATCTGAAAGCTTTCTGAGTTGTATTACAAAATGTCAGTAGCACCATGCAATTATGTTATTAGAAGATGGTGCTAAAAGTAGCTAAGCAAGTTTAAAATCATCTGTCAAAACCAGCTAAGCTCAGACTGTCATCTTCACGTCACAAATACTTAGAGCACAGTACTGAATCTGGATGCATAAAGCAGCATCAAGACTAATGGTCAGGCAGGATAAACCACAGCGCAAGTAGAAAAACTTCTTGAAGTTCTTTAAATGTTTTTGCTGTTAGAACAAAAAGCAAGCTCAAATATACCTACACACTGTTCCAAATCTGGTATTTATACTTTTTTAGACAAGCAAATGAAGCTTCTTATTTTTGACATACAGATATTTATCAACTTAAGTTCCAGGAAAACCAGAGGTATGACCCTTTAACCATAAAAAAATCCAAGGAAGTTGTTGTGGCTCCTACATGAAACAGTCTTTGCCTCAACTTGAAAAGGATATTAAATCTCTAGGGGCTCTGTGTTCCAGTGTAAGATGAGCTGCAAAGTCATCTGTGACATGATTCGGATCCCCTCCAGGTAATGCTGCACATATTGGACAAATCTGAAACAACAAAGGGAGAAAAAAACCCAACTTTATAAGTTTTACACAAAACAGAACTCATAATCAAGTCAATCATTAGACACCGATTCTTACGCTTTAAAAAAATCACATTCTAGGTATTCACAAACACCTGGATAGCAACATATTCAAAAGACCCAGAAAAATGTATTCAAGTGCAAATATCAATTTAGACATCTTTTACTTTATGATTTTCAGAATGCTATGAAAACCAGAGCTAGAATTTTGAAATGTAACTTGCAATGTCTTGAAAATTAGCCTTTTTATGCCAATTCTGCCACAGACAGTGGAGTCTGATTACAAAAGTTTACTATTTGCCTCCTTAACACTCATCCAAGAGGAATCAGAACGAAACTACACATAAGTATTTGCTGAAGTATCAAACTGAGATCATCCATCCAGGCAATAACTACAGGTTTGGCAGAAAAAGGCTGATCTCCATATCTCTACACAACAGTATTTTGGAAGAAGGCACTGACTTCGGTTTTGGTTTGGTTTTTTTTTGTTTTTTGTTTTTTTTTTTTTAAAAATCAAAATACATTAACTAAATAGACAAACAGTGCCATTACAATTTTTATAATTGTGACTTATTTTCTAAATGACTCCACAAAAAGCTTGAAAAGCATCTTCCATTCTTCTTTACAATAGTTGTGCAGACTGATTTTGAAATTTTACAGATGGTAGACAAAAAAAAAACCATTCCACAAAATTCTTCCCCAAATGTTAAGTGCTCAAATTAACAGCACTTTGACAGTCAAATGCAACTGCTGTCTATGAATTTCTCTCTGTTCATCACAGTCAAATAGTCTTGACTTTATGGACCAGCCCTGGCGGCAACATAAATTCCAGGTTCCCTGTGCTCTTTGTGCATATAATCAAATTGTTGCAGTAGATCCCAAAAGACCATGGGCATTAAGAACACCTATATTACAGCACACACATCTGCCTTACTCTCATGAAAGTGAGGACAAAGTCTTGAAATAAGTTTACTGTAAAATCTCAGCTGCTTTTCACAGCAGCTGCTACATCGTAATACCACCTTAATTGTAGCAGTCAGCTCTGAGTGGAAAACCAGGTATTTTACAAGTCTTGCTACAACCCCTTTTTCTCTTTATTTTCAACGTTCAGCATTTCTTTTTACAAAACTCCTCTTCCCACATTTTTCACCAATACAAAAGCTATAAGAAGTGGACGCACTACAGAACAAAGACATCTTATTACAGAGTAATATAATAAATACTCAACTATGCCAACATATCATAGCAATGGATGTACATTGGACAGATGGGTCTAAAGTCTATAAACTTATTTATAAGCTGCTTAATCTTCAAGAATGTCTTTCATACCAATAGGAGACAACACCTTCAAAGAAATCTTTTCATTCAAGCTACTCTGATGAAGAAGAACCCCAACACGAGAAGAACAACATGCTTCTGAAAGCAGTGAAGTAAAAGAAAGTTATTTTGTTAACAGGACAATGCCATTATGAATGGCTTGATAATAGACACAGGACTCAGAAAAACATCAGCTAAGAAAAAGTTACAAGGAACAACAAGAAGGAGGGAATCTAAGTACACTTATCCTAATTCTAAACATGAACTAAACTTCAAAGAACTGTCTGACTGGGAAAAGTTACTCAGTCATTGTTACACACAAAAATTTAGTTAAGTATAAGCTCTGGCAAAATCACAACAGAGACTGCAGCATCACTGATTAAGTGTGACACTGCTAAAAATCATTGTTAACAGAACATGCATAAACAAATCATGCAGATGAAAGGAAAACACTGTAAGATTATTCTCCTGAAGTCACTATTATTTGTATTAAAAATGATCTTGTTACCCTGAATGATGTCTGAAAGATGACTGCAAAGTCCTAAGTCAAGTATGCTCACAGAATACTTGCCAGTTCCCAGAAGTGTGCTTATATTACCACTACCTCCCTATTTACATGCAAGGTAACCACTTTACGTAACAGTACTTCTGTAACCTCAACAAGAGACACTGTAATCTTCAAGAATGAAACTATTCAGACTATCTCAGATTGTATATTTCATTACTGCAAGAAAAGCTCTCAATTTTATCCATAACGTATCAACAACCTAGTCCTTACAGTTCATGTACAAGGAGCCTAGTTACTGCCTTGCTAAACCTGAGAAATATGATGCAGTGAAATGTAATACTAGAAAATTTGTGTCTCTGTTCTGAAATAAGCTTTAAAAATTACATTTGATGAGGTTGCCTACAACTTTTTTATTTACAATGTTAGCAGACTTCTAGTTGAATGCTGCATTTTACTTGGAACACCAACAATAATCATCATACTGTCATTCTTCTGCACTTGCCTTGTAACACTTACCGTTACCCTTGGACATTTCGTGGTGAATAAAAACTGGCAATTGCTGAGGTTTTAGTATTCAAAGTCGTATGTTTTATTATTTTTAGTGTGTAACCTTAGAGACTTAGTGAATCATAAAACTTATGACTACCCTCACAGACACCAGTATAATTTTCAATTGAAGTACCCTGAATTAAAACAATCACTTTTGAGGAAATATCAAATTCCTCTCCTGGAGTTCCTCTTTAGGACCTCAACTAAGCTGTGGTGCATCTCCAAAGTGCCTGTATACTAATGCACACAGCATGGGGAATAACCACAGTGAGTTAAGAGATCTGCATGCAGTTGCAGGGCTACAATGTTCTTGGGATGACAGTGACATGGTGGGATGGCTCCCAAGATTGGAGTGTTGCAACAGAGGGATACAGACTCTTTAGAAAGGAGATGAAGAGGGTTATTTAGAAGAGAAACCGGGGCTTGCCCTTTATGCAAGAGAGCAGCTGGAGTGCATGAACCTCTGCCTGGGGCTGGAAGAAGAGCTGATGGAGAGGTTATGGACAGGGATTGAAGAGAGGACTGGCCAAGGTGGCATTATATTGGGTGGCTACTGCAGGCCACCTGAGCAGGAAGAACAAATGGATCAGGCCCTCTACAGACATATGGGAGCTGCCTCACTTTTGCAGGCCCTGGTCCTCATGGGGGACTTCAACCACCCCAGTATCTCCTGGAAGGACAACATGGCATGACAACAATCCAGGAGGTTCCTGGACTGTACTGATGATAGATAACTTCCTCCTCCATGTGACAGAGGAGCCAATGAGGCAACATGACTCACCAAGGAGTGGCTCATTTGGGATGTGAAGGTCAAAGGCAGCCTTGGCTGCAGTGACAATGAGATGGTGGAGTTCAGGATCCTGAAGGCAGGGAGGAAGATGAAAAGCAAACTCATAACCCTGGACTTCAGATGAGCAGAGTGTGGCCTCTTCAAATATATGCTTGGAGGAGTCTCATGGGATAAGGCCCTGAAGCGTAGATGGGCACCGAGAAATCTTGTTAATATTCAAGGGTCATCCTCTCCAAGCTCAAGAGTGCTCCATCCCAATGAATATTAAGCCAGGCAAAAATGCCAGGAGGCCTACATGGACTAACAAAATGCTCCTGGCCAAACACAAAATGGAAGCACACAGAACTTATTCTCCTAGGTAACCTTGGAGGAATACAGAAACATTATCTGAGCATCCCAGGACAAAGTAAGGAAAGCTAAAGCCCAAACAAAATTGAAACTGGCAAGCTGTGTCAAAGGCAACAAGAATGGCTTCTGGAAGTACACAGGCAACAAAAAGATGATGAGGGAAAATGTGGGCCCACTGCTCAAAAGATGGGGGACCTGGTTACACAGGATACAGAAGAGGTTGAAATACTGAATGCCTCTTTTGCCTCAGTCTTTACTCAGAAGACCATCCTTCAGGAATTCCAGGACCCAGAGATCAGGGGAAAAGTCTGAAACAAGGAATAAATTCCCCTGCTGGAAGCAGATTAGGTTAGAGAATACTTAAGTGAACTGGACATACTTCAAGGCCATGGGCTGTGATGGGATGCACCCACAAGTGCTGAGGGACCTGGCAAATGCCATTGCGAGGCTGCTCTCAATAATCTTTGATCAATCATGGTGACTAGGATAGCTGCCTGAGTACTAAAGTAAAGCAAATGTCACTCCTATCTGAAAGAAGGGAAAGGAGGAAGACCCGAGGAGGTACAGATTAGTCAGCTCATCTTGATCCCTGGGAATGTAGAGGAGCAGCTAATCCTGGTCACTATTTCCAGGCATATTAAAGACAAGAAAATCACCAAAAGTAGTGAGCATGGCTTCACAGATGGTAAGTCATGCTTGACCAATTTGATGAACTTCTATGACTAAGTGATTGGCCTGGTAGGTGACTGGAGAGCAGTGGATACTGTCTACCTCGATTTCAGTAAGGCCTTTGACACTTACCTCCCATAGGATCCTCAAACACAAGCTGTTGATGCACAGGCTGGATAAGCAGACAGTGAGGTGCAGTGAAAACTCACTTAATGGCTGGACTCAGAGGTTGGTCGTTAGTGGGAATTTTGCTGATTACAAAACTGGGAGCAGTGGCTGATATGCCAGAGCCACACTGCCATTCGGAGAGACCTCATCAGGCTGGAGGACAGGCCAACAGGAAGCTCATCGAGTTCAACAGGGAGAAGTGCAAAGTCCTGTACCTGGGGAGGAACAACCCCGTGCACCAGCACAAACTGGAGTCCACACAGCTGGAAAGCAGCTTTGCAGAAAAGGACCTGGGGCTCCTGGTGGACCATGAACCAGCAATGTGCATCTGTGGCAAAGAAAGCTAATGGTATCTTGGGCTACATTAGGAAGAGCATTGCCAGCAGCTCAAGGGTAGTGAACCTTTGTCTCTATCCAGCACTGGTGATGCCACACTTGGGAGTACTGTGCCTAGTTCTGGGCTCCACATACAAGACATGCACATACTGGAAAGAGTTCAGCAAAGGGCTACAAAGACGATTACAGGACTGGAACACCTATTCTTTAAGGAAAGGCTGAGAATGCTGGGACTGTTCAGTCTGAAGAAGAGCAGGCTGGGGGTGGTGCACATCTTACGAATGTACATAAATACGTGAAGGGAGGGTGAAAGGCAGATGGAGCCAGTAACAGAACCAGAGGCAGTGGACACAAATTCAAACACATGAGGTTCCTGTAAGGTTGACTGAGTACTGGCACATGTTGCCTGGAGAGTCTGTGGAGCCTCTATCCTCAGAGATATTGAAAAGCCATCTGGATGTGGTCCTGGGCAACCAGCTCTAAGTGGCTCTGCTTGAGCAGGGGGTTGGACAAGATGACCACCAGAGATCCCTTCCAACACCAGTCAACCTGATTCCTGCCCACAAGTACCTAATATTGCTGTATGTAGCAATGCCAAATACATAAGAAAAATCAGCAGAAAGTAAACTTATTCTCTGCAACACTATGAACATAAAAATGTCAAAATTTAAGGGACCAAAAATTCTTTGACTTATTCTTTAAAAATCAAGGGGGGAGGGGAGGGGAGGTGTGTGGGAATGTGTGTGTCTGTAAAAGAAAAGTGATTCTGGCCCTGTAAACTTCCCTTAAAGATCTAAAAATATCTAAAATAAAACACATCTTTGAATGGACAGAGATACTACAAGGACTACAAGCTCAGTATCTTGACAGAAATAATTGCTTTAAAGCCGAAGACCACCAACATTTAGAATTGTTGTATGTTGTATGTATGTAAGTATGAATAATATGTTCTTCTTTAGTAAAGTTGTAGCCTTTCACTATCTACAGTAAGACTGCAGTACTCAAGTTTTTTATGTGTGTATACACTATTTATCACAAAAGCTAGATTCAAAACTTAGCACAAACATATATAATCATACTCGAGGATTAAAATATTGTCCTTTATCACTGTTTGGAACAAAGATATAACAATGTTGCAGACTGACTCACAAAAAGGAAATACTATGTATATATTTTTTTTTACACATACAACTCAGGAATCAGTGGAGTAGCAGGTGTCTAGAATCACAAATTTAGGCTTTATGTACTGAGTTCTAGAAGACACAGCTGCAAAAAAGCATGTGTCACATTTTAAAACCTACAATCTTAACGTTCTGTGTCAGGAACATATCACTGACATCAAGTGGCACAAATCAGAATTGCAATACCAAGCCACCAAAGAAAGTCATTCAAACATGGAACTTGCAATGGTTGACACTATGTTTGAAAGTGTCAAAGAAAAACTCAAGGAGATTATAAAAATTGCAGTGTGTCACAAAGTTAGATTACAATCCTACAGTGCAACTGACTGTGAAATAAACTGTTTCACTTCATATGTTTTTAAAAAAGACCAGAACACACCTTTGAGTCTCTAAAAAGGTAGACAAGCTACATCCCCTATCATTCCTCCACATGAGATCCTTAATAGGCTTGGAAAGGTTAATTTTCCTTCACAGAATTCCTTGGAAGTTAAGCAAACTAGAAGATTGGAATAGAGAACTGTGCTGGGTTTGTGTGGCAGGGATTTGGTAGCAGAGGAGGGGGCTACAGAGGTGGCCCCTGTGAGAAGCTTCTTGAAGCTTCCCCAGCTACAAGTTGGATCCACCTGTGCCCAAGGCTGAGCCTCTGTGGTTTAAGAAGGGTAACCTGACAGGATGAGGACTTGTGAGGGAAATACCTATGCAAACACTGGGGTCAGTGGAAGAAAGGAAGGGAGGGCTGGGGGGAAGGTGCACTTAAGCTAAGATTCCCCTGCAGCCCATGGTGAGAGGGCAGGCTGTTCCCCTGCAGCCCATGGAGGTCTATGGTGGAGCAGATGCCCACCTGCAGCCTGTGGAGGACCCCACATCAGAGCAGGTGGCTGTGCCTGAAGAAGACCAGGACTCTGAGGCAAGCCTGTGATGCAGCAGTCTGTTGTTGGCAGGACTGGACCCTGTGGCAGGGAACATGCTGGAGCAATCCACCTGAAAAGTTGCAGCCTGTGGGAGGGATTCATGTTGGAGAAAATTTGTGGAGGACTGTCTCCTGTGGGAGGGACTCCATGCTGGGAGCCGAGTAATAGTGTGAGAAGTTCTCCCCCTGAGAAGGAATGAGCAGCAGAGACAATGGGTGATGAACTGACTGCAACCCCCATTCACTGATCCCCTGTGCTGCTGGAGGGGAGGAGGTAGAGAAATCAGGAGCAAAGCTGAGCCTGGGAATAAAGGAGGGGTGGGAGAAAGGTGTGTTTTAAGATATGGTTGTGTTTCTCACTGTCCTACTCTTATTGGTAGATTAGTGTTGTTGGTGGTGTTCAAATTAAAGTGATGTTCTTTTTTTCTCCCCCAGTCGAGTCTGTCTTTTGCCTGTGACCTTAATGGGCAAGTCATCCCTACCTGTCCTTGTCTCTATTCCTGACTGAGCCTTTTTGTTTTATTTTCTACTCCTCATCCCTCAGGGTGAATGAGTGAGCCAGCAGCTGAGTGGTGCTCAGTTGCCCTCTGGGCTTGAACTAGGACAAGAACCAATTTACAGATAATTTCTCCACAATGTATGAGTGATGTGTAATCAACTTCAAGCATTCACATTGTTCTAGGAATCTATGGTACAAGAGCTAACTAGACCAGCACCCTGGACGTCATTCTGCTAACCTAGCTTCTCCTACACCCAAAGACAATCAAGATAGCAGGAGCTAACACCTCAAATTAAAGTATTTCTATTGACAACTTGTTTAAGTGTGTTTTTAACTATGTCAAGTGTCCTAACTGTTAGGGATGGGTGAAAATGCCTGCTTTAACAGCAATGGTTTCAAAAGAATGACAACTTCCATTGCATAAATATACCAGGTCCATCAAAAAAGCTAATCTGAAACACACCAAACTGTCTCCATGTCTTCCTCTCTCTCACAGTTACAAAAGACTGGCACAGTTATGAGCTTCCATAACAATTATATACTGGCTGTGAAAAAGGAGACACAGCTACACAGAATAATCATGAGAACAACCTAAATTTTGTCTTACAGGATAATAAGCTCCTAAACATGGCAGCCTTTGCATCAGGACAACAAAAGAGCAAAAGAAGAACCATAAAGGAAGAAAGCAAGCTCATTATATTATGATACCCATGAAATACAGAATTTTGATGTCATCATTAAGTGTAGGTATGTCTTCTTACAAAGCATTTAAATAAACTCATGCTTAAAAAAAAAAAAAAAAAAAAACAAAACAAAAAAACAGGAACACGAAGGTATCAATTTCCCAAAAGGGACGCTTTTTGATATATTTCCACCACAACTGAAATCCATTTCTGAAGCTTCTTACCACTTCTGTTGATGTTTCTGCATGCTCAGAAGTAACATGTTCTTGAAGAGATGTTTCTGTATAACCCATTTTCCCACAATAAGGACAAGTAAAAGACTGTGGCTGCTCTACAGAGAAAGCTTCTCCACCATAGTACAAATCTGGAACAAGAAATATTTAAATAGAGGTTACTTCAAAGCAGTAGCATAATTTATTCTTTTTATGTAAACCTCTGTTTATAAATCTACTTCAGTGTAACCACTGCCAAATTAATCTGCTATTTAATTGAAATGGCTATTTTAATATTATATAAAGGCCATAGGCAGATATTCAAGAAGTGTGCAATTACTGATGACGAAAACCAGACACTGCATTTAGTTTTCATTAGCAAACATAACATAGTTTTCTAATACGCAGTATGAGAAGAGACTCCTATGATCATGATGCCAATACTGCCAAACCTTCACTTCCCCATCACCCTTCTTATTGCATGTACAGGGTCACCTATGGTATTTTTCAATCATAAGATGAGTTTTCAAAAGCTGAACTCTCAATAATACCTCAAATAACAAGATTTTCTCCAGCAAGTAATTTAAAATCTTTTCACTGACATTTTTTCTAGGACTCACTGGTAAGTAACTTATTTTCATAGAATTATGAATGTTCTGATATAAAATTAAAATTGGACAAGTCTAATGAGAACTCATGTTCTGCACCACAAGGCAATATCAAGCTATCTAATGTGTTAGGAATATGTCTTTCTGGTGGCTTACATCACAGCTTCCTAAGGTTTATGACATCTTCTGCTACTGAGTCCTCTTTTAGGATATGACTAGAAAGAACAGAACAACATTTTGTTTCTGTGGCATTACAAAATATGATGCTTAAGCTAAAAATGTACATATTTATAATGCACTGTATTAACAGATAGTATTTTACATGTAACTAGGATTTAAGAGCTAACAGTCCAAGATCAATACAGGAAATTAGCTTCTTAGTAACATGCTAATACACAGAGATAATAATCAAATTGAATACACTGAAGAATGAAGTTTATGTTCAGTAAGTCCCTGTTCCCCTTACAGAGAATTTAAATGATGGAAGAAGAGGGAAGGATACCCCTTTAACAGGCATGGTAAGAAATGCCCAAGTAGACAAACAGCCTTGCCAAAGAAGAAACACTGCCTGACACACTGAGCATTTTAACTGGTTCATCAAATTAACTATCACACTAAGCTTGAGTACCATTCCGAATCTAGGTTCATTTATCCACATACACATGAGGAAAACATTATGTCCTACTATCCAAAGCAAAACTTTCCCAGCCAATTAAGCCTTAGTTCTCCAAAGCAGCATTTGACGTTCCATTATATGTTTCATACAATAAAGCACAGAAGTAACTTTTCATTAGAGAATGGAATTGCATATCAGATATGATTGAAACAGAAAACTATACAGACCGAAAGTCAGCATGAATGTAAGTTGGAAGACATGCTCAAAAGATTAGCACCCCCATCCCCCAACCTGAAAATCATCAGGTGCCTGTGTTGTGGTTTGAGCCTGGTCGGCAGCCAACCATCACGCAGCCAATCTCTCTCCCTTCTCTTCCAGCAATAAGAAAGGACAGATGAGCCAGGCTTGGGGTTCAAGATAGGACTGGTATGGGGAAAAAAATCCCCCTTTATGATCATGAGCAAAAGGCAGACTCGTTAGGGGGAGAAAAAAAGAACATACATTTATTACAGACACTAACAACAACACTTAACAGAGTAGGACAGTGAGAAGCGTTGTCACATCTTGAGAACACCTTCCCCCCACCCCTCCCTTCTTCCCGGGCTCAGTTCTGCTCCTGATATCTCTACCTCCTCCCCACAGCAGCTCAGGGGCAGGGGATGTGGGGTGCAGTCAGTGCCGCCACTTCCTCTATTTTCAGTGGGGGGAGCTTCTGGATCTTCTCCCCCTGCTCCACCATGGTCCCCTTCTCACAGGAGACAGTCCTTCACAAACTTTCTCCAACAAGAGTCCCTCCCTCGAGCCACAGCGTTTCCTTACAGTGCTCTGGCGTGGTTCACTAACTTTCTCCAACTGGATTCCCTCCCACGGCTGCAGCCCTTCCCGAGCTGCTCCAGCGTGGGACTCCCCCGCATGCTGCAATCCTCCCAGCACTGAATTACAGCAGTGGGGCTACCTTTTCCCATGAGACCCCGGCCTTCTTCGGGCACAGACACTTTGATCAACCATGAGAAAACACAGGCCATAAATCAATGTCTGCTCCACCGTAGACCTTCATGGGTGGCAGGGGGGGCCGCCCTGCCGTCTCACCACAGGATACAGGGATGTCTCTGCTCTGGCACACCTCCCCCCTCCTTTCTTCCTCCGTTCCTCCACTGACCTTGGTGTTCATGTGTGAAAGGCACCTGTTTATCCTGCTTATTTAAGTGCCATGTGATCCTGTTTCTGTAAAGGTGGAAAAGAGGCTTAATCTTCTCTCTGCTTCTACACTACATTGACATGACAACATTCTGGGATTCTTGTTACAGGGCCAGACAGACCATGGTTCATTACAATAGTAGAGCCTGCTCATCAGCTTGAACGGTCATGGCACAGGGGTCCCTCTATGTCAGCTCACAGCAGAATGAATATACAGAACACTAACAACATTGCAAGACCAGGAGCAATGTGTGTCCCTCAGACTTGATAGCTTTTTCCCTGCAGCTGGCCATCTTAGTTATTAAGACAACTAGCTTCAGCCTCTATGGGCTAATTATAGATACAGTCCAAATGATGCCACCAGGAAAAAAGAATTTGGACAAGAAAAATAGAGGGAAACCCCAAACGTCCTTGCACAACATCTATCAGGACTGAGATATGAATGCATCTGAGTTACCTAACACAAGAACAATGGGCATTTCCTTGACAGGCTGTCAGGCATTCAGCTGGCATCTTAACAAACAGACATGTGGTATGTCTTAATTCAAAATATCTGTCCTTACCCAATCCCCTATAAATCCATGGGAAGAACCAGTGAAGCTATGAAAAGGAAGGTCTAACTTCCCACATTTAAAGAAGCGCTTGCTGGCCAACACTTAAATATATCATATTCAGCTGAAGATAATACAACCAGATTGGAAGAAGGCTTTTTACAAACTCTTAAATATGCTTGTTTATCACTTTTAGAGTGTCTTCTGAATGGTCAAAACCAAGAACAACAGCAAATTCCCCCATGTGAAAGCTTTTAATACTATCTGTAGTTCTTATCACAGCAAGCTTATGTTTATTCTATATGAGTAGATTAGTACTACAATTACTCTAGCAGGTGACCAGAAAAACTGGGTTTGAGCATTGAGAACTCCGACAGTCCCTATGTACATGTGTTAAGCAACATCATCCTACAGAATGAACCAATTAGGTTTATTTATATGCACAATTAATTTTTGACTTGAATAGCTTCTCTAAAATTTTAGAACACATATTTTCAGGTGTTTCCAAGACTTCCATTCTCTTCTTATTTACATGATAAAGACTTATATGAAAAATAACTTGCTCCGAGTTTGACTTGTTATGGAGACTGTTTCAGATACAACACAGAAGATTTACATGTTCATAGAACTTCCAAGATTTTGGAGCTCCTAACCAGTGCCACTTCAGTATATATTTCACTAAGTACTCCCCTGAAAGCTCCTCCAAGCACCACATTCAGATTCCCATTCTGATGGAGCCAAAAACCTGAGTAGGGGTAAAAAAGTTACCAATATGCTGCAGCATACTCGAATATGACACATTTATATGTCATGGTTTCACATGAGGAAAGCATGAACAAGGTTTACATAGGACTAAGTTCTAAGTCTCTGAATGGAGCAGCCATATAAGCTCTGAAACAGATGTTCTCTCAGAAAAATATATTTGTAAATCAACGATTTCAAAATGGTGGTTGACTAGAACAGATAAATGCAAGATGCTTCAATAAGGATGGATGAAAGAATCCTTGCAAATACATGACGAAAATTCTAATTAAAGCAGCTCATGACACATGTTGTTACAGTATACAGCAAAAAGTAAAGCTTTAAAAGCACTCATTCTGCTGTGTCACTGCACAAAGGAAATATAAAATTCAGTTCTTTTTCAGTGTCCTAAAGATATAACAGAGATGGAACTTAAAGATTCTGGGAACAAAATATGTGAGATGGCCAAACTTTTGAACTGAATAGTTAAGAATTCCACATTTAACTGCATTTAATCTACCCCAAACAGCACATACAAACACTGTATTGTTCTCTGAAACTCAGTAACTCAAAAAGAACTTCTGCAAAAAAATTCTGCATGCCTGTGGGAACAGCAAAAATGTCAGCCACAAACATGTCAAAAGCTATTGGCAGTTTGTTTAGTTGATCCTCTGATTTCCTTCAATCTTTGGTATGATCTTCACGATGACTAAATACCTATTTACTGATTGGAAAACTGAAATTCTCCATCACTGCAAACATACACACATGGAACAAAACCAAGGCAAATTTTCCTTTGAGGACTTTTTCTAGCTGAGCAGACTAATTTCTGGAAAATTTCCACGTCCTGGCTTCTTATATGATCTAGATAAAATAGAAGATGATGACTGAAACTGGGAAGCTAATGAAAGAAAGGAGCAAACCATCTTATTCTTCAGAGTATTTGCACATAAAAGTAACTTCTGCAACTACTATCTAAAAAGAACAAAAAAATCCCTCAAAATTATCAAGCTGTCTAAAAACCTCTACCTATAAAGCCCACTACTTCATGAATGTAAGTATTCTCAAGTAAGGCAAAAGTATCAGCTCCAACTTCCCAGATGAGCAAAGGGCACAAGGCCACAACCAATCTGAAGAATGGTAAACAGCTTAGCATGCAGACAAAAATATATTTTCCTTACTATATGTTGATAGCTCAGTCCAGATTTCAAGAATTCCAGCAGTACACACTGTTCTATCACAGAGGGGAGAGATTTGACAAATACTGTCAAACCCTGTGTTTCTGGTCCTTGCTTTTAGAAAAAATGAAACAAGCCATTTATTAATTTGAAAATAAAAATCTGAGTTCCTTCTAGCCTCCTGATTATACTCTTGCATGTTCTCCCACTCATACCTCCTTCCACATCTTTCTCATGATACACAGCAAACTTAAGACACAT